GTAACAACAACAATACTAATCATCTCCATATATATATAAAAGGCAAATTTTGTGAATATGTGTGTCTGTTCAAATGTTTAGCGTACTTCCCGACATGCAACAAACTTGAAATGTGCCATGTGGGTACTTTCCAGACTGTACACCATGCAAATATTATAAAAATACACTTTTTTGGGGGGGGGGGTTCAATAATGCATAGATTTTTTGCACGGAAAGTGAGCTGTGACGTCACATCTGTCATGTAACCCGCGCATGTGGAAGCGTCACGCAGTGTAGTGTAGTGGGTAGCGCGCCGCGCTACGAAACCGGCGACCCGACTTCGATTCCCGCTCACGGCCACCATCGGTGACGATTATTTCAACCGGTCCTGGATCTCCCCTAGGTCGACTCAGCCTCAAACGAGTAACTGCTGTGGTGTGTGAACATCGCCACTGGGGAGACAAAGGCGGCCGGGCGTGGTGGATCCAAGTCCCAGCAGCAGCAGCAGGATGTGCGGTCGTTGTTGTGCTGCGGAGATCTGGAGTGAACCCGTTCACTTGTTTGTTCACGATTCTGTCTGACACGCGGATATCGGCTCATCGTGCCGTCTGAGCGCTGCCCCATCTGCTATTTACGAATCGTCGCCTTCATGTTTTGCCGTTCCCACGTCTTGCTGCGACTTTGTTAACAAATATGTCGTTAAATTTCGATTTAAAGCTTTCGTGACTGCAGAGATTCATCTTCATCTTCTACGTGACTTTACCGAAAGAACCAAGAAGAAAAATACGTCGTTTTTTTACGTTGCGGTATCAATCTGCTTTCCACGTTCTTTTAATAATGGGTTTACACTCCTGATCCTTTTATATTCACTTCAACACGTTCGTCAATAACACTGTGGCCTTCAAAATAGATAGAATTGGCGACGTTTCAGGCAATGGCCCTTCTTCATGTAATATTTAAAAAAAATTCGTGCTCTGTTAAGAAGTGTCAATAAGTGCCATTGCCCGAAATCTCGTCTCTTGGTGTATATATAGATATATGTGTGTGTGTATATATTTATGTTTTCCTTTTAAGGCCACACATTCAGTGCTACTGTTGTTGGCGAACGCGTTGAGCGCTGTTGTTAAAGTCGCCTTGTCCACCGCTGCCAAGTGCAGCATCAGAAGCAGCCTCGCCAATAGTATTTGTTTAAGAAGAGAAACAAAAACGTGTCAACTTCATCCGTGTCACGTCCTCTCCTCCTTCTTGTTGCGAGCGGTGACCTCCGCACGACACTGCTGCTTCTCTCCCACACATTCGCATCCTGGTTGTTTGGAATCGATCACGTTGCCCTTCTTCCACTGAACATCTGTCCGCTGTTGCCTGTAGCTCCTGGGAATGGTGATCATTCGCTTCGCAACCCCCCCACCCCCAACCCCGTTGGCTCTGTTGAATCAGAATATGTATTTATACTGGAGGAATCCGATGAGCTATGAAGCTCTGTGTTTTGTTACAGATGTCTAGCAGGGGCGGGTACACCAACAAAGAATGCAAAACACGATAGGAGTGAAAAGTATAGGAAAGGTAAATAAATCATTTAAAACAAATATACAAATGAAACGACATTATTTTCTTTGTCTCGCCAGGTGAAGGCCACGGAGCTTTCGAGCTCTTTTTCAGAAGCGACCTGGCCACGAACGATAGCTCACCAAAGCGGCTTATCACGTGGAAATGTACAGCAGCGAAATAATCTCAATAATCTCAATGCATGTTTCTAAATGTGTGTGGGGGGGTGGCGGACCCAGAGGAGCCGGAGGAAAAATAATCTACGCGATTACGGGGAGAGAGACACACAAACTCCAAATATACAAAAACAGGCGTCAGGGTCGGGATCGAACCCCAACCTCCTTGCATATCAGGCGTGGAAGATAACGTCACGCCGCTTGCATACATGAATAAAGTATGTAAGTTCTAATTGCGCCATAAATTCCCCACGTTGCAAAGCGCGACTGTGGCCACCACCCAGAAGAGACCACGGGGCAAACAGCAACAACAACCAGATTCACAGACACGAATCAGGAGGATGCATCCTCGTCATCACTACAGCGATGATGAGGATAATGATGATGATGCTGCACCACTCCGCTACACTCCTGGCGCATTTCCTGTGGCCCATTCACCTCCTCGACGTAAGAGATCGCGGCTGTTGCTCTGCATCAACGAAAGCCCCACACAGACCTGCCCCACACAGACCTGCCCCACACAGACCTGCCCCACACAGACCTGCCCCACACAGACCTGCCCCACACAGACCTGCCCCACACAGACCTGCCCCGTGCTGGATGTTCCGCCGACAGAGAAGATGGCTCTGAGATTCGATGTTTTCACTTATTTATTCCCTGAGAGTTAATTCAATTTCACATCTCGCCTTATCTGTTTTCGCTCCTCCGTATTCATTGTTTTTTCGCGGAGGTGGTGACCTGCATAACATCTGCTGCATATAATGAAGTCTAAAATCACGTCTATAATCACCACGATGATGATAAACACATATATACACACCGACAGTCAGACAAAGACCTCTCGTATAGCCTTTACAGACTGTTGGGGCAAGTGCTGTTAGCGAGCACCTATGAAGACCGGCACGGCATACGAGGGGGTGGGTGGCCATCACCACGCCCAACCGCCTTTGTCTCCCTAGTGGCGATGTTTACACACCGCACCAGGTATTCATTAGAGGCTGAGTCGACCTAGGGGAGGTCCAGGACCGGTTCAAATAATCGTCACCGGTGTTGGCCGTGAGCGGGAATCGATCTCCGATCGCAAACAACGACTTTAAATTTCGATTTAAAGCTTTCGTGACTGCAGGGATTCATCTTCTTGGTTCTTTCGGTAAAGTCACGTAGAAGGGAAGTAATAAAATAATAAAAATAAAACATAATAAAATAATTCTCACGACGTTTCGACGGCTGCTTGCGTTGTGGCCGAAACGTCGTGAGAATTATTTTATTATGTTTTATTTTTATTATTTTATTACTTCCCTTCTACGTGACTTTACCGAAAGAACCAAGAAAACGACTTTAAATATACATTTTTAGAGAACTTGTATAAATTATATTCGAGTGTTGTTTTTTAAACACAACAACAAAATTCGTGAGTACACGCTGGAGAAGGCGGCTGGTCCGAAACGTCGTCTACCACCGTCGATCCCATTGATGCTATATTAATGTACGTACAAGTTTTACAGTATATACAGATATATATAGTACACGCGTACAACACACACACACACCATACACGCGATAAATGCCCACATGTACATGCGTACAAGATGAATACACAAGAACACACGCACACATATACTGTGTGTATATATAGACATGTATGGATGTTGAACTTCTTTCGCACCGTACGTAGCCAACCGTGCTAATAGGCTTGACACGTAGTAGGCTGTCGCGACAAATATATTCATAATAAAGGGCTATGGGTGAGATCGCGTAAGTGTAAATGTGTCGTTCACCCGCTGTGGATTTACTCTCCAACACACCAATGGCCTCAAGTGCTAACGAATTGTAGTAAATAGTAACTAACTAATTATTACTCTCCAACACACCAGTGGCCTCAAGTAGTAACGAATTGCCACGTTTTGTACACGTGACCACGCCGTACGTATTGGCCGTGTCGGGTTACGACACATTTATCTTTACGCGATATAACCCAAACACCTTTATTAGGTGCTTAATCGGCTTGTTAAAATTGGTATTTTGTAATACCGGTAACCGCATGAAAAAACTATGAATAAAAAACCGGTTACCGGTTTGCCGCACATCTAGAAATGTCTCGCAACAACAAGGGTGACACCAACTCTTCACTGCCATTCACTGGGACACGGAGGGAGGCCTCCACAGAGGTCGTCTCTGCGACTCCGTCTCCAGGAGCGGTCGTTGAAACGATGGAGCGATCTTGATTTTAAGCTTTCGTGACTGCAGGAATCCATACTCTTTGCTTCTTTCGATAAAGTCACGTAGGTAGAAATAAAACAAATCACGGCGTTTCGATCGCAACACGAGCATGAGGATTGCTTGCGTTGCGATAGAAACGTCGTGATTTGTTCAATTTTATTTCTACCTACGCGACTTTACCGAAAGAACCAAAGGGTACGATGGAGCGAGTTTCTCAAATCTCACACCACCGCCACCACCGCCGCCGTCTGCCCACTCAGCCGCGGTGAGGATCGATGTTCAGTGCGGTGTCTCAATCGGCGGCTCTCGTACGGCGGAGTAACGCGTGGCAGCTCTTCCACGGCGTCTGGAAGAGTAGGCCAAAGCCCCCCCCCCCCCGAGTGGGGGGCGAACCACGAACCACGCCGTGACCTCGGCCCGCCGTGCCAATCGATGCGTTCAGCGTCGCAATGGGAGCGATAACCGTTTCCCGACTTTGGGAAACGGTTTTCGGTTCGGTAAAGGGTTACCGGTTTACCGGTCGTGTCGAGTCGCCACCGTAATGCGTGCAATGACGCGCACTGTATACACACACATCATACAAACACACATATATTGTACATGCATCCATAATACACACAACATGTATACACACATATATACACACATATATACACGCGTACAATATATATACATACACAATTACTATCAAACGCACAGATTTACACATACACACGTTGCTGTGCTTGTAAATGAGAGATGAACGATCACATAAAATAGGCGACGTTTCGAGTAATGACCCATCTCCGTAACTCTAATCTAATTATTTGATGGTGATGATGCTGCTGCCGATGGCAGTGGTGCACAATTAACAACAACACTCACCACGTTCGTTCAACATCAACACCGCCGATTCGCGGCATGTCCCACGAAGAATGGGTCATTGTCCGAAACGTCGCCTATTACACGCACACGTCTCATGTAAAGCCCACACAGGCGCGCTGTTATTGACGGACGTGTGTGTGTTGGCGGCCGCCTCTCTGCTCTGAAGAAGGGTGCCTCGCCGCTGCCCGAAACGTCGCCTCTCTCACAAGGACGCACCTGTTCTTGGCGGCGGCGGCGCGGTCCCTCTGCCGGCGGTTCTTGAACCAGTTGCCGACCTGCGTGGGGGTGAGTCCCGTGGCCTGCGCCAGCTCCCGCTTCTTGGCCGGGTTGGGGTACGGGTCCTGCAGGTACCACTCCCGCAGCACGCGGCGCGTCCGCTCCTTGAAGCAGTGCGTCTTGGGCTCCCCGTCCCAGATCGTGGGCGGCAGCGGGAACTTCTTACGCACGCGGTATTTGTCTACGGGCCCCAGCGGGCGGCCGCGGAGCCTCTCGGCCTCCTGGTAGCGCGCCTCGAGCCACATGGCCTGCAGCTTGGCGTGCGACGCCTTGGAGAAGCGGTGGCCCTCCAGGATGGCGTACAGGTCGCGGTAGTTGCCCGCGTGGAACGCGACGACGGCGCGGGCGCGCAGCACGGCCTCGTTCTTGTTGAGCGTCTCCCAGGCGCCCGGGGCCACGGGCAGCGACCAGAGAAAGCGGGCGAGGCGCTCCACGTCGCCGCTCTCCTCCAGCGTCTCGCAGACGCTCGCCACCTGCTGCGGGCTGAAGCTGAGCACGGGGAGATGGAACATTGGGCACCGCCTTCGCTGGCACCGGGGCGAGGGCGGCGGCCGGCCGGCCGGCGAGCGGGTCCAGCCGAGCGGCCCGTGGCGCTGCGCGCGCCGCTCGATGCTGACTCGCCCGGGGCTGCCGCAGCCGCCGCTGCTGCTGCCGCTGCTGCTGCTGAGACGACGGCGTGCGCAGGCAGCGTCTTCTGCACTAAGCCTCCGCGTCTAATCAGCTGCGTCTGCTCGCTGTCTCCGCCGCCGCCAGCCCCCGGCCGCCTCAGCGCTGCGCTACGCCGAGGATCATCATGGACGACGCCGCCGCCGCCGCCGCGCGGTCCCCTTGCGCTCGGACCACGGAGCGCGCCGCGCTGATTGGCCGCGCACGGCGCCCATCGCCCCCCGTGTCCATGGCAACAGCGATGAGCCCAACGTGCCGAGAGCCCCCCCCTCCCAACAAACCCCAACCCCCCCCCCTCCTCCTCCCCGTCTTCTTCAACGCAGGAGCCGAACTGCAGCACGCATTGTTCCACCCGTACGGAACGAGGAGGAGTGTTCGTCTCACGCACCCGCTCCCATCATCACGCGGCGCGTAACCCTCCCACAATGTCCTTTGTGGTGGCCGTGGTGGTGGTGGGGGGTCCTTGAAGACCCCCAGCCATTTGGGGGACGAGGAGGAGGTGGTGGTGGTGGGGAGGCTTTGCCACGCACGAGGGAAGGGGTCGCACCTCGGTGTCGGGAGAATCCCGGGGCCCGAGATGAGAGGGGACACCACCCGACTGCCCGGTGCAGGCCGCGCGCCGCGCCTCCTTTACAAATGAGGACGCGGCGCAGCCCACGGATGACAGCAATTTGCGTGATGGCTCTGAGCTCAATCTCCCTTGTCGCTTCACGGGAGAATTGAAGGCGCGAATCGCTCTGCTTTGAGCCGACAAATAGTGGCGAATAAAGGAGTCATCACATCACGCTCGCCGCGAATTCATTCCGCGCAAAACACGCGCGACGCGTTTTGTTTGCGCCGTGGTGTGATACCACCGGTGATGGGGGGGGGGGTCTTGAAGACCGCCCCCCCACTCGGTATTTGAGATCCCCCAGGGCTTTCCCCTGCCCCACGGCGCCTACCCAGCCCCCCTGGGGTAGGAGAACTGCGTTGTCACCGTTCCCGTGCCGGGAACGCCGCACACGCGCCGTGACGCCGACGCGCGGTGTTCGACATCCACTGCACGCCGCTTCAATATTCCCACACACTGCTAGGACAGGGCCATTGTCCGAAACGTCAGAGCAATGTCATTACATGTTCATCATCAGCAGCAATGATCAATCCGCTGCTGGATGAAGGCTTCCTCCAAGCGGCCACCATCTTCTCGCGGTCCCGCAACGACAACAAGTCACCACCCAGCTCCTGCAAACGGGCGGATCTCATCGTTGCTCCGTCTTTGTTTGTCGCACATGTACAGCTTCTCAATCCACTGCTGGATGAAGCCCCCGGTCATGGTTGGAGGGCGGCGGGGAGGGGGGGCAGAGTGAATGGAGGAGGCGGTGGTGATGTTCGCTTGGGTTGATTGGATTCTCGGTTTTGCTCTTGTCCGCGTTAACGCGAAATTTGTGGGCCACGCTCGCGCAGGGGAGGGCATCGCTCTGGCGATTTGTGGCCCATGCCGAGCATCATGTAATCCAGATGAATTCCACAGACTCCTCTCCCTCCACACCTATCTCCCCCCCTACCACCCCCCACTCTCGCGCTGGAATTTAAACGCGCGCCCCGTGACCCCCACGGTCGCCATCCCCGCGCATCCCTCGCACAGCGGATTGCAGAGACCCCTTTGCACATTGCTGCCCGCTTTGTTTCGGCCCACGCTCAGCAACAGTGGCCGATACACATTGCACGCGTGTGTACATAGATGTGGATGCCGTCTGTGTGTGTGTGTGTGGACACGGCTCGCATAGAGGCCAAACCGCTGAGACGCAGCGGTGTTTGACGAGCGCGCGCGCTCTGAGTGGAGGGCAGCGAGGGATGGCGGCGTCACGGAGAGGATTGACGTAACATTCTGAGATGTGTTTTCTCAAGCGCCGATGGAGGGTCCTTGCCTGAAACGTTGGCCGGCTGTATATTTTTATTTGTTGGAAATCGGTGTAAAATGGCGAACCTTGTGGGTGGTAGATGTTTGTTGTTTAGTCTGTTCATATGTTTATCAAGGCCGCAGCCATGGAGTGAAAATTGGGGGGGACCAAATCTTCCAGGGGGTCTAGGGGTCCCCCCCAGAAAAAAAAATCTAAATTTGAAAACTAATTTCCTGCCTAAATATTAAAAAATTTACTAACACATGGGATGGACTTTTTATTTATTTTTTACAATAATGTCTAATAGTGTATTGTATTTCATTGCTCTGTTTTTTCTTTTTACCTTTTCTTGTTTCATTGTATGTAATGGCAGAGATTAGGGATTAATAAAGTACAACCATAACCACAATCATGTAAACAGAAATCTGTGGCCAAGGTTTAGCAAATTGTTGTTTTTATTTACATAGCAAAGCAATTTTTTTCTATTGTTTGTAGCAATATATTTGGGGGGACATTTTGAGCATATTTTAATATATATTATAATTACGGCCTTGATATTTATTATATAACGCGTTGTCTGTGTTCCTGTTACATTGTGATTATTATTGCAATTAATGTGTTATTGTGATGTTGCTGTGTTAGATATGTTAGAATCATGAATTCAACTGTAGCATAATATCACACGGTAACTGCTGACATAGATGAAAGTCGGGTACACAAACCTGTTGCGTTAAATCACGGATTCAGATTAGCACGGTATGGCTTACGTACGCACATCAACCAATAATCAAATAACAATTCTCCACATTCTCCACCACGATGGTAATGATTATTTAGTGTTGTGTATTATATAGTTCTGCGTCCAACCAATATCCATATCTTATACTCAAATTAAACTCTTTTTTATTTGACTAGATAAGGCCCATTAAGCTATATAGCTCTTTTTCAGAATCAATCTGACCACAAATGATAGCTCAACATCACGTGGAAAGATATAGCAGCCAAATACTCTAAACGCATTTTTCTAAATGTGGAGGGAAAACCCGGAGAACCTGGAGAAAATCCACGCAACCACGGGGAGAGAGGACACGCAAACTCCAAATATATAGGCGTCAAGATCGGGATCGAATCTACGGCCTCCTGTATACCAGGCGAGGGAGTGAACATCTCGCCACCGGGCCACTATCGATAACATCTCTCAGTTGATCAGAATTGGTTCAAGCAAGCCTGGCTCTGCCGATGAAACACACTGAAGTTTTTTAAAATATATTTGACCGATTGGTTTAAGGGGTGGGGAACGTCCGGCCCGCGGGCCGTATAAGGCTCGCGAAATCATTTGGTGTGGCCCTGCCAAGGCAACCGCTGGCGGGACTCGAAATTCAATAAATCTAGGAGCAAACCTGGAAAAGCAGTTGCGAGTAGCAACATCATCAATACCAGCTCACATCACACGCCTCGCCAAAGAGAAGCAGTTCCAGCCATCACGTTAGGGGGTGAGTTAATTAAACGTTTGACCAAATATAACAGGCAAATTTTTAAGTTGATAATTTTGTATGGCCCGCGAATGATTTTATAAATATCCAAATCGCCCTTGGCAGACAAAAGGTTCCCCACCCCTGGTCTAAATGAACGTTTTGGCCACTCCACCGCCCCTCGTGTGAAGGCTTCCTGGCTGCTCGTGCGAGAAGCTCGGATTGCGGTCTGGGATGTCGACTTCATGGAGAAATGTCTCTGCTCGGATAACTTCTTGCTGCTGCTGCTGCTCGGACTTTTACTTTCATGACATTTCCTTAGTTGCTTATTCACGTTTTATTTTATGAGGGTTTTCATTTGCTTGATAGTTATTATAAATAGGATTTGGCCCTAATAGATATAATTGATATACAGCGTTGTGGGATGCAATTAGCATGAATGACGTGATATAAAATCTAAGTATTATTGTCGAAACCGGTCCGAAACCGGTCAACCTGGAAGATGAACACAGGATTTAGCAGTCTTTTGAAATACGTGTTCAACCAGGTTAGTGTCTAACTGTGTTGTTGGCCGACTGGTTTGCATCGCATGACATTTCTAAGGTTGGCTGATTTCGCGTCTCACATCTTCTTGATGTATTTGCCGCCGTGCAGTTTGCCGTTCTCTGTGTGTGATGTCTCTCTGTGTGCTCTGTGTGTGATGTCCCTCTGTGTGCTCTGTGTGTGATGTCTCTGTGTGCTCTGTGTGTGATGTCTCTCTGTGTGCTCTGTGTGTGATGTCTCTCTGTGTGCTCTGTGTGTGATGTCTCTCTGTGTGCTCTGTGTGTGATGTCTCTCTGTGTGCTCTGTGTGTGATGTCTCTCTGTGTGCTCTGTGTGTGATGTCTCTCTGTGTGCTCTGTGTGTGATGTCCCTCTGTGTGCTCTGTGTGTGATGTCTCTGTGTGCTCTATGTGTGATGTCTCTCTGTGTGCTCTGTGTGTGATGTCTCTCTGTGTGCTCTGTGTGTGATGTCCCTCTGTGTGCTGTGTGTGCGATGTCCTTCTGTGTGCTCTGCGTGTGATGTCTCTCTGTGTGCTCTGTGTGCGATGTCCTTCTGTGTGCTCTGCGTGTGATGTCCCTCTGTGTGCTCTGTGTGCGATGTCCTTCTGTGTGCTCTGCGTGTGATGTCCCTCTGTGTGCTCTGTGTGGCATGTCCCTCTGTGTGCTCTGTGTGTCATGTCCCTCTGTGTGCTCTGTGTGTGATGTCCCTCTGTGTGCTCTGTGTCATGTCCCTCTGTGTGCTCTGCGTGTGATGTCTCTCTGTGTGCTCTGTGTGTGATGTCCCTCTGTGTGCTCTGTGTGTGATGTCCCTCTGTGTGCTCTGTGTGTGATGTCTCTCTGTGTGCTCTGTGTGTGATGTCTCTCTGTGTGCTCTGTGTGTGATGTCCCTCTGTGTGCTCTGTGTGCGATGTCCCTCTGTGTGCTCTGTGTGTGATGTCCCTCTGTGTGCTCTGTGTGTGATGTCCCTCTGTGTGCGATGTCCCTCTGTGTGCTCTGTGTGCGATGTCCCTCTGTGTGCTCTGTGTGTGATGTCCCTCTGTGTGCTCTGTGTGTGATGTCTCTCTGTGTGCTCTGTGTGTGATGTCTCTGTGTGTGCTCTGTGTGTGATGTCTCTCTGTGCGCTCTGTGTGTGATGTCTCTCTGTGTGCTCTGTGTGTGATGTCTCTCTGTGTGCTCTGTGTGTGATGTCTCTCTGTGTGCTCTGTGTGTGATGTCTCTGTGTGTGCTCTGTGTGTGATGTCTCTCTGTGCGCTCTGTGTGTGATGTCTCTCTGTGTGCTCTGTGTGTGATGTCTCTCTGTGTGCTGTGTGTGATGTCTCTCTGTGTACTCTGTGTGTGATGTCTCTCTGTGTGCTCTGTGTGTGATGTCCCTCTGTGTGCTCTGTGTGTGATGTCTCTCTGTGTGCTCTGTGTGTGATGTCTCTCTGTGTGCTCTGTGTGTGATGTCCCTATGTGTGCTCTGTGTGTGATGTCTCTCTGTGTGCTCTGTGTGTGATGTCTCTCTGTGTGCTCTGTGTGTGATGTCTCTCTGTGTGTGATGTCTCTCTGTGTGCTCTGTGTGTGATGTCTCTCTGTGTGTGATGTCCCTCTGTGTGCTCTGTGTGTGATGTCTCTCTGTGTGCTCTATGTGTGATGTCTATCTGTGTGCTCTGTGTGTGATGTCTCTCTGTGTGCTCTGTGTGTGATGTCTCTCTGTGTGCTCTGTGTGTGATGTCCCTCTGCGTGTTCCCTCGCTGTGGTTTGCGCCATTTTAACCTGAGGACGAGCGCTTGTGTTGCGTTCGAAACGTCGTGATCTATTTTTATTGTATTTCTACATACGTGACTTTACCGAAAGAACCAATTATAGTATAGCTCAGGGGTCGGGAACCTTTTTGACTGGGAGAGCCATAAAAGCCAAATATTTCTAAATATCTTTCATTGAGAGCCATATAGTATTTTTAACGTATAATAAATTAAATATGTCTTACTTTTAATGCGACTTCTGGTCACTGGACCCGTGACCCGTGAAATTTATCTTCAAAACGAATTTCTGTTTACTTTAAAATGACACAGTATTATTAAGCAATATCACAAGTATTTTAAAATCAGTTCCAAACTGATTTATTTATTATTATTATTTTTTTCAACTCAAAATTGTCTGGGAGCCATATGCCGTCACCGGAAGAGCCATATATGGCTCGCGAGCCATAGGTTCCCGACCGCTGGTATAGCTACTACTATATTTGGTTAAAAGCTGGTTATCAGAATGTTTTAATATATAATACTTATCAGGCCCCATGGTGTAAACAAGGGCAATCTCCAACAATTTTTTCTCTCTCTGGCCTCTCCTAGTTTATACCATGAAGGGGCATTGCCCGGAACGTCGACCCTGTTATAATGGGGGGGAGGGGGGGGGTTGGTCACGTGGTCGCCGCGGGTCACGTGGCGTTGACCACGTGCCGCGTTAGAAAAGAGCGGGAAAATTTAACCTGCGTGCGCGCGCTCAAAGTCGTCATTTCAACAAATAACAAAAATAACGTTATCGTTGTAATTATCATCATCGACAACAACCACAACACCAGAGCCTTCTCGCTCACAAACGGTAACGTTATGCTGCAATCAGTTTGTCAGATGTACAATTGTGCATCGACTCGGGTTCCCTCAGCTTAAAAACAAAACAATTTGGGTAGGCCGCAAGCCTCACACAATCACAAACTAAAGCATCGGGCACACAACAACAAAAATACACAAAGCCGCCTACGTTTTACGTGACCTCAAATCTCGTAATGCCACCTTTTTTGGCGTGTATATATTGTTTAAAGCGTGTGGTAATTAGCGTCGGTTTTTAAACCCATTTAAAGAGGAACGCATCCTCTTCCACCACCACCAACGCCACCACCTTCACCACCACCTTCACCACCACGAACGTGGCCACGACCCGTGAGAGGATTGTTCACTGCGTGTCTCGCTGTGTGCAAGTTGTGTCCAAGCGTTGTGGTTGGTTGGTGGTGGTTGTTGTTATTGAAGTGGGGAGCGGTGGCGCAGTGGTTAGCGCACTGCGCTACGAACCCGGCATCACGAGTTCGATTCACGCTCAAGGTTACCAACACCCAGTGACGATTGTCAGACCCGGTCCTGGGCCTTCTCTAGGTCGACTCTGCCTCAACTGAGTACCTGGTGCGTTGTGTAAAACATCGCCACTGGGGAGACAAAGGCGGTCGGGCGTGGTGCTGACCACCCACCCCCTCGTGTACCGTTCAGGCCTTCACGTGTGCTCGCTAACAGCACTTGCCCCTTCAGTCTGTTACAAGGCTCTACATCTCTGTTGTTTTGTGTGTATATATATCTGTATATATATTTGTGCATGAGGAATCAGTCCACGATGGAGATTATCAAGGTCTGCGCACAGCATGTCCTACATAGCTCTGCGTCTAAATGTTTTTTTTTTATATCCGACAGCTCGCTTAAGAGTCTGTTACAAGGCTATAGAGGGCTAATGTTTGGTGTTGTGTTGTGAGCAATGTCCGTCTCCCCTCTCGGATAGTGGTGTTGGTGCTGGAGAGGCGGGAGGACCCCAGTCGAGGCGAGATGTCGTCGGGAGCGGCGGCGGAGAGGGACTTGGACTGCCCAGACCTGAACAAGATCGTAACGCTGATCGCTCAACTTCGTAACAACGACCTCCCAACACCCCTTGAAACCCTCTCGTTCCCATCGAGAAACCAAACAAACTCCGGGCTGAAGCTTGCTTAAAGCATCGCAGATCTGACAGGATCAGTTGCATTCCCGTTGACTTTAACTGGGCGTAGATGATGAGTTATTATTGTTATCATTGCGCCTCTATAAATGTGTAGTGAGAAGCTCATACCCTGTCAACCTGTACGGCTTACTCGTATTCTTGTGCAGAGAAATCGAGTTTTCAGGCCGTTTCAATACGGGCAAAACAATCATATGTTTGTCTTATGTATTTGTGTTTCTCCCTTGTGATGGAATGAGCGTTGATATTTGTAAGGGCCACGTGGTGACCAATTAGGTCTGAATGTGTCTGTAATCAGGTAGGGCACTGATAAGGGGTTGACAGGTATGCAGATTTGACAGGATCACTTGCATTCCTATTGACTTAACTGGCTGTAGATGATTTGTTATTATTATAATGCCTCTCTAAATGTAGTAAGACGCTTCTAAACACCCATCAGCTCTATGTGGTAATTGAACTTAACTCCATATATGATTGTACGTTATGATACGTTTTCTGAGATTGCATATTTTCTTACATTCCACAACAGAATACGAGGAAAGTAAACTGGTCAATACCATGGCTGAGGAAAATGAAAAGGCGAGATGTAAGTGCTGAGTAGTGCGTGTAAGATAGTGAATCTATCTTCAGATATGATATAAGGGTGGTATCATGAAGATACATAATCTATTTTTACGCCTAATGAAAGTGCGCCAGACAAAATGTATAGTTTTTTTGTTTCCTGAAGAAGGCTAATTGACCAACACATCCACATCTCCCTTTTCCTCCCAGTGATAGAATACAATTCATAATAAAAGATTTTGGGTTAGATCGCGTAAGTATAAATGTGTCATAGCCCTCCACCACCCGACACAGGAAGGTTTAGAATACAAATATGTATGTACAGTATGTTTAATTAATCTGTTTAATAACTGGTTTATTGAAGGTGATGGCTGTTCTCCATATCTGGAAATGGAGATGTAATGATCAGATTTTATGTTCAATTATATGAGTTATGTAGAGGAAAGGCTCACAAGAAAGCACCACTTTTACTGTTGTGTAGAATCACAGTCAGAAGAACCAAAAGTTATTTTATATTGTCTTTATGCTGTAAGTTCTAACATATATAATTCACTTGCGTCATCACGTGTACCATTACGCCTGTCACCGCTTATTAGCAATGCTCAACAATCTTATACTCTTCAGGCGAAATGTCATTTCCACCAAGAACGAATCCTGTGGGAGGCTTTTCGGAGTTTAGCCAAAGCGAATTGTTAACCAATGGTTCTCCGTAAAACAAGTTTAATTTTAAGGCTGAGATTTTTTAAATGAAAAAACCCCCCAACATTTGTGAATTATAATAACAATGATGACTGAGTGTCAGCCAAAGAATGAAATACGTCGGAGAGGACACGTTCCCAGAAGATGGAGCGATGAAATCAGCTCAAGCGCAGGTGTTGGGTGGATTATTACATTGCAGCTTGGGTTGTCTTTATCCAGCAGTGGGTGATTACAGTTCCATAGGGTTGAACTGCTAAATGCTTCTCAAGAAATATGGTGAAACAGCTCTTAAACATTTTTTCTGTTGGAATGTCATTTCCCCTGATTTAAAGGATTAATGACAATAATTAGTGCCGCATTGTACGATGATCATAATTGTATAATTGCTATGTTCATTGTTAAAGTCAATGCAGATGAATTAAAGGAGACACGGGAAAAAATAAAAGAGATTGGAGTGAAAACCAGGGAACTTGATGAGCAGTGTGTACAGCTTGAGCATAAATTGGAGCGCAAAAAGACCGCTTGTGAAACGTAAGAGCATCAAACACGAGCCATTGCATGTGTCTAATATAATGCCACTGAAACCAATATTTTTTGCACAATGACCAATGGAAAGCATTATTCGTGCCTCTTCATTTCATTCTTACAGCTTAAAATTGCCTCTGACAATATTAGTGCAACATGAGTTGACTCAAAAGTCCAAATTGCAAGATGCCAAGGACAACAAGGCAAAGGAAGTGTAAGTATCGTGTAATGTTACAGATGTTCATTTGTCTCGCCATTCATGTTGCTTGAATTCGCCCATGTAGTGTATGCTTCATTCAGGGAATTCCAACCGCAACCTAATCCTTACAAATAAATGTACAATTTATCAGCCGTGGGACACAACACCTGCTCAATGATGCCTTCCTTTGATTATATCACACACAGACTGATAAATAACAAGGACAGTGTTATCACCATATGGCAATGCTTTCAACTATGATAATTATATCGCGGGGAGTAGAAATATTACATGCCATTACTGGAGCTTGTTACCTTGTGTTTGTCACACACCCAGGAAATATTATGATGAACTCAGGCAACATTACTTGACGATTTGGAATAAATACCAAGAAGAATACAAGAAGCTGCCATATTCTATACATTTCCACAAGCAGAAGGAGGAAATGGAGGCCAAAAAACAGAGACATGACGAGCTGGCCATGGAAGTGGAGGAATCGCAAGGGGGCACCTTGCAAAGTAACAACTGACGCGTCGAAGAGAGTCAATACGTTTCTGTTTTTGTTGTTGCCTGCGAGGTTTTTGTCTAAAGTGTCATTCATGTTGTGTTGAACATGTTCATAATCACAAACAGGACCGAACAGCATCTGTAATATTGTCTTTTTTCAGGTCGGTTACAGACGTTGAATGAATTGGTGGTGGGGACGTATCCTTTCAGCTCTGCTGGGTTTGTGAAGTAGAGGTAACTTGTGAGTGCTGATTTAATTCCGACATGACTCCAGCACTTTAAAATCGGTCAGTTTTTAAAATCAGTGTACAGACAGTCCTCGACTTACGAACACCGTCAGACGTTTTGAGTCAGCCTTGAGCTCGGAGTTAGTATTGGTGTGTGTGCGCACATGTGTGTGATGGAGACAAAGGTGGCTGGGCGTGGTGCTGGCCACCCACCCCCTCGTGTGCCGTGCCGGCCTTCATCGCCGCTGCCCGCGAACAGCACTTGTCCCAACAGTCTGGTAAGGCTACACAGGAAATTGTCATTATTGTGTGCGTGCGTGCAAGTTCCCTCGTTTGTGTGTGCGTGTGTGCCATTGTTACCGCACAAGCAAGCCAGCATCGGGACTCGGGGTAAGTCAAAATAAAACTGATATATTTTTTTCTAGTTATGTTACTTTATACGATTTTTTATTAACTATACAATATTTATTACAGTATTATATGCAAATGTAAAATAGTTCTTATTTAGGAGTTTAACAATGCTTCACTTTGTCGACGTGTAACACATTTTATAACATTGACCGTATGTGCATTCAAATACAGATTTACGAATGGGTCTAAGGATCAGAACGCGTTTGTATATTCGAGGACTGCCTGTACACATGCAGCAATACGGGCATTCACAGAGTCAGTATCATTACCACGTTGTACCTCCTAACTGGTCACATCATCGGAGTTGTTCACTTGCACATAGACGTGTAGGATCTGATTTTGAAAACAAACATAGTTTTAAACACTCATTTATGTGCATCGGAAGAAATCCTCAAGTGCACATTCAGGGTCCAGACGCAGGAAAATACATTGGAATTTGAAGCATTGGCTGCGGCTAAGCAGCAGTCATCTCTGCACGTCCTGGAAAATGAAAGTGAAATACTCAAGGTACAATTCTTGGCATTTGGGTTAACAGAGAATGTAAAACTAAATTTATAATGGTGACCCTCATTTGAAGTAAAGTCCAAGTTCTTCATGAAAGAAAGATATAACCTGATGCTGTTTTACTCGGTAGCTTCAGAAACATCACGTCTCTAGTGGAGCCGTCATCAGGGACCGTGTGGACAGTACTGACAGTCAAACAGACACGGATGTACGCCACGGAGGCCCAGTCTCCTTATGTCTGCCACGAGCACAAAACCGCGACGACTTGCAGCACAGGCTAGTAAAGTTACATTTGAGCAGTTCTTGTACACATGTGTAGTGGCATAGAATAAGTAATGTAGCAGCATAGCGCTGGCTGCTGGCGGGGAAGGGGATCTGCGGCTTACAGTAGCCCTGACGTCAGCAGGCCAGGTGATACCTGGTGTAATATGGCCAAACAATCCAAGATGTATAAGGTGTCATATTCAGCAAAAAGATGAGACGGAAGAGAGGGTGGCATTGAGAAAATGAAGCTCAATGGACCTAAACAGAATACAAAAAGAAACGTTTTTAGTTTGGTCTTGAAAGCACGGATTGTAACAGATGACCGGACTTCAGAAGGCAGACAGGTGTAAATGCAACAGCTATCTGAAAAAGATTATTACATAAGCAGAGTGTGATGGAAGGACAAGTAAGGGAAGGCTTTGGAGGACAGCATTACATACAAGACAGTAGAGGGTGGCCAGATGGTTGAGGTATGAGCTAGCATCATCAGTACCTGGGTTCGAATCCAGGTCTGTGAATAAACGGGGTTCTTTAGTGTAGCGAGCTGACAGTCACAGCCCAGTCTCCAATGACTGCACACAATTAACATCACTTTAACTTTGGTTCTGCACTTAATTCGATTAAATTCCAGTTTTTAGAATTAAATATATGGGTTTGACTGTCATGTGATGAATATTACTTAGTGGCAGAGTGGGTGGAAAAGTGCTGCCCCCTGCTGTGTGAAGGTCATTTGAAGGGATGTCTTAAGTAGCTCTGTGATGTCTGCATTTTGTGGGCCGTTCCCCAACATGAATTGTTGCACTGCCCTGCATGAGATACGGATGGATGACGTCGATAGTACAATCGAGATAAATCTGAGTAAAACGATTATTCGAAGAGAAAAAATATGAATTAATTTTGCAGCTGCAGGAAGTGGAGGATACTAACCAGTGAATGCTACAACGTTCCACAGGGGATCTGCCAAGTGACTGAAAGTGTTCATAGAGCTGCATTTATAAGTCATGGACCAGTTGGCAATTGGTTATGTAACCCACAACTGCATGCATTACAGGGAAAGGGGACAATTCCCACAAGTGGCTCTTTCACCAAATCAAGTGGAGGTCGTGATGCAAATTCCTGCAGAAAAAGCTCAACCATCACTCAGCGCTAAAGAGTTCGGTGGGTTTTGTTATTAAAATGATCCAGCTCGGTGGCTCTGCGTTAGAACGGTCGGCTCAGATAAAAGTAGTCCCACGTTTGTGGGGAAATCAACAGTGGTTGTCCGATGGATAAACTTGTACCTGCCATAGGAACGTGGAATTCCCACCACTGACTCAGGGCTATAATTGGCTATTAATAGTAGCTACAGTTTAGTAACCAGTTTTTTTTCTCCCAATTTTTGTAAAATATTCAAATTGAAATTTTCTTGAGCCAATTTATACAGAATATTAAATTTTATTTGGAGCTTTCGTGACTGCAGGAATTACTCTTTGGTTCTTTCTATAAAGTCACGTACAAAGATAAAATAATAAATTAAATACTACCATACGACGTTTCGATTGCAACACAAGCAATCATCATCAGGTATAAATGAAATAGAAACACAAATCTAGTATACTTAGAAATGTAATGTAATACAACAGAGAGTCGGATAATATAACAGTCAAACACCCTACCTGGTTGATTACGTTCTTCCTGAGAATGCTAAATTTGAGAGAGAGATAAAACACAGAACCAGAGACATATAGATAGAGATATAAGCAGACATATCACAGAGATACATGGAGAGAGACAAACATGTGCCTATGTTTGTGCTTTCAAAGCACATTTTAATCATGGACATGCATGTGATTTATTAAACTCCGTTATTTTTCTTTTTATCTCATTTACAAGCATGGAATGTACGTCCGCCAAAAATAAACACCAAGTCCAGCCAACCGCCGCGCATGCCTGAACTTCAGATCCATCTTCAAACCGACAAAACATGTGGTCAGGTAATTATTACAATTGAAAAAATGTATCGCTTCTACGAAAAAAAGCACATCATATTCTCATTCTAAGACCCTCAGGGAAAATAAGACGTACCTTAAACTTGTGCCCGTGTCAGTGAAGTTATCTAAATCTGGTCACGCACACAATGGATTGATTGCAAGATGCACCCCAAAATTTTGCTTATCTATAATAAAAACTGAGAAAATAGGTGCATCTTATAATTCGGGGATCACGGTATTTATCTTTTCCTAGGGAAATACAGGAGACGCCGCTGCAGATGGCAGCAGAATTGCTCTTGCGTCTAAAGCTGCGGAGGGTTCGAGAAAAAACATCTTCAAGGTTGTGCAGCTGCCTGCGTCACTTCAAGATCGTATGAGGTGAGTCAGTCTTCATTCGACTGACAGTTATTTAAATTTACCAGATGAAATTTTGCACCTTTCACGAGGGTGGCCTGGGTTGCGTAATTTTAGTGATGAAAACAATTTCCTTGGAAACTCGCTTCATCCCGTTTGCAAGGGTGTGCATATGAACCTTATGGCGGATACCCCAGGGTACCATAGTACCCCGGCTCTCGCATAATGTCCGTGATGCAGTCATTTTTAATCTGTTGATGGTCGGTGATGCAGCAATCGACTCATCTCGACGAGCTGTAGACGATCCACTATTTAAATCTTGACTTAAAGCTTTCGTGATTGCAGGAATTCATATTCTTGAGTCTTTCGGTAAAGTCACTTAGATAGGTTCAAAGAAAATAATCAAAAACTACGACGTTTCGATCGCAACACAAACGGTCGTCTTCCTTTTCCTGAAGACGACCGCTTGTGTTGCGATCGAAGCGTCGTAGTTTTTTGTTATGTTTTGTTAATTCCTTTGAACCTATCTACGTGACTTTACCGAAAGACCTAAGAATATGCACTATTCAAAGTTGATTTTTTTCGATAACGGATTTTTTATGCTAATGTTTGGCGTTTCAACATCGCGGAATAGCACTGATTTCGGATTGATTGGTACCTCAGTTGCGGAGTGAAGTATACCCCTGGACAAAAATAGTGTCCCAGAAATTAAATATTTAATCGCCTCGACCAGTTTGTATTATTTGGTACCGGGGTACCGCCATGAGGATCATATTTCACAGCAAGTCATTTTAAATACACACAATGTCTAAAACACTTTAAATTTAGAAAATCTCGACAACTTAATACACAAATGAAACAAAGCTAAGGTGAATTGCACGAATTTTTTTTATTGTGTACACAAGAAATAAGATGCCAGTTATGGTAATGAAAGTAGACCAATTCGGCAAGTAGAGCCAATGCAAGAAAATGCACGGATTATAAATTTCAAACAAATTGGCTCAAGGTGGCCAAAAACACTAAAACGACGCAGTCTAATCAAGAGAACAACGCAGCACTGGACTGCTGGGGTCGAGCACCACACAGTGTGTGGTAACAACCAAGTGCAGCTTCTTTAGAATGAGCTTCAGTAACAGCGACCGTGCATGCTATGTTTACAGACTTCAACGAGAAGACGTGCCTAAAGAGAAGGACAAAGCACTACAAGACAAGGGTACGCTGGAGTGGATGGGAGTTGTGTTTTACAGGAGCATGGGATACAGGGAAAACTTGACCACAGTTGCCAAAATTAGTGAAAGTTAATTTTGATATTTTTTGTTCGCGACACCCAAAATCTTCTTGACCTCCACATACCAACCATCAGTGCAGCATCAGCAGTTGATCATGTACTGAATGATATATTTCGGTCAGTTGTACATTTCTGACACTCCCTTGTATCTTTAAGATGAAGAAACTGACATCAAACAAATGGAATATGAGAGCAGAAGTTGCAGTCAACGATCTCTGACTCAGGTACCCCACAATTGCGTTACAGCTGGTTACTGATCTTGTGGGAATGCCAACACAAGAACAAACTTACGAGCATTGCTGTGCTGTAAACTTAATTCCAAACTAAAACAGTCAAAGTAATTTGCTGCTCAAATGAGCATTGGGGGGGGTGGGGGGGGCGGTGCTTACCTATTTACACCCTGAGCCGATGGTGGAAATTCCACGTTCCTCTGCTGAGGGTGACTATCCATTGGACAACAGTTGTTCACTTCCCCACAGGGTGCTGTTCATTGGATAAACCCTGGCGGGATGATGAGCTGAGTCAACCCCCAACCAGGATTTGAACTTGTCACTTTCCGATTGCGAGCAGCTTACTCTATAGTTGAATCACCTGGCCGGTTCCTGTTTTAAAACAGCCTCGTAAATGTTATAGGCTATTGTAAAATCACCTCCCACTTGCAGACCGGTGCTCTGTATACCTTGTTCTGCAGAGGGACAGCTGCTCCTGGGGTCTCCCCTTGGCTCCACTGCCAGTAGGGCAGAATGATGCATGGTGCTTTGAGTTTCTGAGCTATATAAGCACCATATAAATAAAACACCTTACATCTTAAATCTTTAGATGTGAACGTTATAAAAAGGTTGCCTATTGCATCATTGAAAAGGGAGACCTGGGATACACAATGTACTGTGCAGAAATCACTAAAATCTACAAAGAATTTAGGACGACAAATATGTATGTACAAGCAAAATGACTTAACAATCACAAAATAACCTTTGCCACACAGTTTTTCTAGACACATTTCAAAACAATAAACTGTCAATAGCAACCGCGTATAATGGTATTGTCATATTGTTAATATACAGGAATCAATTGGATATGCCGAGTTGTCCACGGTCTTTGAAGAAGATGAAACTCCTTCCCAAACCTCGCCGTCCACTCTGGCGGGACAAGGAGATGCCATTGTTCCCGCGAGGTACATATTTCCCAAAATAATAAAAGATGCAAACAGCAATGCCATATCCATCACCATAATAGTTAATATGTAATTGCATTATTTGAAGGCAAGTATGGAATGTAAATTTCCATTTTAAAAACTAGTAATCAGAAACTAAAAAAAAATGTAATTTCCATCAGGCCCCATGGTGTAAAGTGCAGTCTCCATCTCTTATTTACTCTCTCTAGCTTCTCTATATGCTATAAAGAATAGCCATTGCCCAAAATGTCACTCATTTTATATGTATATATATTTCATTTTAAGACTCATGTATTTCATTTTAAGACTGTTATTGATGAATGTGTTGTTTTTTTTTAAATTCCTTTGGCAGCAACGCAAGTTCACTCAAAGCACCACACTCAACTGAAGCCAATGAGAGTGGTGAAACTTCAATGGAAAATTTTTTTGATATGTTTCTGCCAAAATCTCCAGGCTTCATTTTTACCTGCAGACCAATGTTTAACACCAGAAACTCAGCACAGGTGACATTACACAATACACTGTATAAGCACGACAAAGACGAAGGATCCCCCGTATAGCCTCAACATACTATTAGGGCAAGTGCTATTAGCAGGCACCTATGAAGGGCCGGCATGGCACTCGAGGGGGTGGGTGCCCAGCACCACGCCTGACAACCTTTATCTCCCTACACACCGCACTATGTACCCATTTGAGGCTGAGTCGACCTAGGGGAAGCCAAGGACCGGTTCAGATAATCGTCACTGGTTTTGGCCATGAGTAGGAATCGAACTTGGGTCGTCGGTTTCGTTGCGCAGCGCACTAACCGCAACACTACCGCTCCAACATAAGGACTACACACGTATAGTTATACTGGTAGGAACCTCCTGGTTACACCAGCCCACAGGGGATTATTGTGTCCGTCCATCGTGCATCCAAAAATGGGAGGGGTGGGGCTGGGTGGTGAGGGGAGGGTGATGAGGGGCTGGGTGGGGATGGGCTGGGTGGGGAGGGTGGGGCTGGGTGGGCGGTGGGGCTGGGTGGGGAGGGGCTGGTCACCCCGTGGTGCCCTTATAAAACTCAACGTTTAACCTACTCACGCCGGCTTGTGCCCGCCCTCACAGTCGTGCATATTTGCGGAATACACCACGCCGCCGTTGACCCTGGCCATTGACCGAGGAACCCAACGTTCCTACCAGCTCCCTCCGCAGGAATGTGTTAGACGCGAGTAAAATTGAGAGTGACACACCGTGTGAACAGCATGCTGCACGTATTAATACAAAATGTGTGTTCCCGGAGTTCGAAACACATGCAGACAAATCAGCAATAAGAACTATTTAAAATACCATTCTTTGATACCACAGTATGTTTTGAATTATCACGCTCTTTGTTCAACACGTACTGATGTTTCCACGAATGGATAATAAACTTCTAATTTCCCCAGGGGACGTGTTTTAGTTGTATCAATATGCAAATCTGGCCCAAACAGTAGTGAAAGTAGCACTTTAGTCATAGTATGCGTTTATAACAATACGTTGCAGCTAAAAGTGAAATGTATCGTCTTGTTTTTCAGAATCAATTTGGAGGCGCTTCAGAGGAGACATCTCATGAAATGTTTAAAGCAGGTATGCACTGACACAATCATGGTCCTATATTTTATATTGACGAGGTAAGAAAATATTTATAACTTGCTTAGGAAATTGAATAGATTCGTAAAAATAAGCCTCAGCGATAACGAATACAACCACCAAATCCCTTTCGGCTCTTTAAATATTCATATTCGGTCAAACATTAACATAAAGTTTATACACGTGTACAACACACGCCTGTTTAAGTGCTTCAGAAGAGCACTCCAGATAGTGAAACATGCGCCTTCATTTGTCTTCACATCCCCCGAAACAATGTGAAAGGTTACAGTATTTATATTTAATTTTGATACGGTACTCAAAATAACAGTAATGCCCACATTCAAATACGGTTTTTTTTTGCAGTCTTGTGCCGTAAACATGTAGATGATTTCATATTATATGGTTATTTCGGTAAAGTGAATAAAAAATAAGTTTTAAATCAAAATGTAGATGATTTGTCGTAGTTGTGTATCGCACAAACGACTTAAAGTAAAAGATAATGTCAAGCAAAGGACATCTTACATGGCAAAAACTGAACATGAATGCTACATCAAATCCACTTAGTGTGACACCATTACTCATTGCTGCCATCACAAATTAACACAAAGCACTTCTTCGATGCTAATGGATTTTGTGTTCATACATCCCTGATAATGCGTCTGCATTAAGATAAATTAATACATTAACAAGCCCAAGCCAAGCTCTCCTTTTTTTCTTGCCCTTTCACTTTACTGAATGCAGCAGCTTCGACTGAAGCCACTGGAAATGGCAGTGAACTCCCGCAAGGATTTACTTTGTTTAATGCTCCAAACTCGGAACGGAACGAAGGGTCCAGCTTTCCACTTGACTGCTGGGGCAGCAATAGCTCCTCGACTGGTCTTAATGATCTTAACATGCCGGAAATTTTGGGTGGGCGCACTGGATTTAATTTGTTTTAATGAATAGTATCATAACGTTAATGCCATTTTAAAATCTATGTATTTTTCGATAAATGGACCACCGACATACACTGCTTTTAAACAAAAAGAAGCAAGTTTATCAGTACAAAAAATGAATCGCCAGGGATGAAAGATATGTTACAAAGGTAATACTTTACTAGTTATGAGCTACATCAGTGCCCACACCACAAGCATCAGTTTAACACGTAGTAGGCTTTCACGACCAATATCATCCATAGTACAGGCTTTTTGGATTCAATCGCGTAAATGTGTCGTTAAACCCACCACCACCCGACACAGCCAATTAGTAAGGTTTGTCACGTTAAACAGAACATGCCAATTTGTTACCAGTACAATACATTGGTGTGTTGGAGAGCAAAGCCACAACATTACATTTTTTCTGTAAATGTTGTGGCATTCTTTTTTGTAAATGTTGTGACTTTGCTCTCCAACACACCAATGTGCTGGACTGGTAACAAATTGGCACGTTCTGTTTACGTGACAAACCTTACTAATTGGCTGTGTCGGGTGGTGGCGGGTTTAACGGCACATTTATATATTAACGAAATCTAACCAAAAAAACCTGTATTATGGACCATAAACATCAGCCACAATGAACCCAGAGTCGAAGTGACCTGGAGCGCGAGTCTGTACGTAAGGGGCAGTCATTTCTGCTGTGCCTGCGATCCCAATTGAGAAATTTAGGGGGAATTTTCAAAGTTTCCAGATTTGGAAACCGACGCCGGCACACAATGACCGACTCTTGTGAATGACGTCAGGGAATCTTTTAACGTCCACTGTACGGTGATGACGCGCGCAGTGATAAACAGGGCGGCCGTTGGATTCAAACTGATAATCTCTGCCATGGCCACCTCTCCGGGATTCTGCAATGCATCAATCCACCTGCACAAGCTGTTTGTATCGCTTCCATGTAATCCCAGTGTAGCTGTTCCATTTTTGTTCATGGTTATGATTCCTAAATATATATTCAATGTAGGATTTTGGATAGTGACGGCTTTGATGACTGCATACATTTCCAATCATTTGAGTGCCTTTTCAGTCTAAGAGGAATAGTCTGCCAAATACCAGTCTACAATGGAAATGTAAATTTTAAATTATCAGTGTAACAGTTAGCAGTGTGACAAAATAAAAAGTGAAATATTAAATAAAGATCCCATTTAACTGTAACATTACCACAGCATGAGGAACTGGAAATACGTAGCAACTTGCCACTACTTTAAGGCATGCGGTAGCAGGATCTTACAAGCACGGCTCCAAACCATGAATAAAAACCAACAAATTGTCAAATGTTATGCTGAGTTGCCGTGTAGCTGTCCCACGTGGGCGCTGAGACACAGACCCTGGGACTTCCCACATTGTGTCAGTCTCCTGTCTGTCATTATTAGTCCTTACAGCCCTGTGGATGTAATCAATAAGAATATGGCTGTACGATGTGTTTTTGGGTTTTACGTGATGTCTGATTTCGATTTAAAGCTTTCGTGACTGCAAGGATTCATATTTCTGGTTCTTCCGGTAAAGTCACGTAGAAGGGAAATAATGAAAATAAAATTCTCACGACGTTTCGATTGCAACACAAGCAATCATCATCAGGTGTGAACACCACAGCAAGAAAATTTGAAAAGTGCCGTTTTTTTCAAATTTCCTTGCTGTGGTTTTCACACCTGATGATTGCTTTTGTGTTGCAATTGAAACGTCGTGCTAATTTTATTTGATTTTTATTATTTTATTACTTCCCTTCTACGTGACTTTACCGAAAGAACCAAGAATATGTGATGTTTCGCTGGGAGCCAAACGTGAATCACCATGCCGAACAACACGCAGAACCCAAAAAGAGATCGGAAAACCTGCTCAAGAATGTGTTTGTTGAAGTTTATGCTTACCTTTTTTTAAGTTGTACTTTTGAAGTTTATGTTTGTCAAGTTAATTGTTCTGCAAATGTATGCTGTTCAGAGTTTAATAAAAAAGATACTAATGCATAATGACACGTGAGGAGGACTCATCATTGTGTTGCGGTGCAGGTGAATACGTATTCCCTGGGGTTCCCGACACTTCTTACACAAGGAAGTAGTTGGTATTGCGAGGTATTGATAAATGACAGATTAAGTAAGAATAAGTTTAATGTACAGAGTGCATACCGTACAATGATTTAAACAAGTTGAAAGCTTATGATGGATCGGGGAACACGACACAGTCTAGGTCTCTCAAGTATCGTACGATAATTCGATTTACGTAGACAAAACAATGGCAGTTCGAATCCGATAAAGGTATAAAGAAAACTTCAATAATTGTAATTACATGACTGCAAGAAAAGCTCAATTGGCTTGTTAATAAACAAGTCTATCAAAGCTGTGCATCACATTTTAGCGTAATTACAATCTGTGACCTTAAGTACAGCGATGGTATTCGACCGACGGCTCCTGTGCAAAGATCATCCACATAGCTGCCTATGATCCTGCATTGGAGGGCTAACCCAGAATACCTGCCACCAGTAGTACCCTCGCAGAATACAAAAACAAAGGCTTCTGGGTCGTCAATTAAGGCAACGCTTTGTTAAGCCAAAGCAGTAATCCAGCGACAGCCTACAGGCAGCGCGTCAGCGTTAGCATAATCGGGAAGTGCAGGTTCTCATCATATGCGTTCTTTCCCTCCGTCTTCACCTAAAAACATGCAGACAACAGTTGGCACAATAAAAAAAACACATCAGTAAGAGTAATTCATCAGCACTAATCACTGAAATTCAACGCAGTAATTGTCAGCACATTGAATGCAGCAGGTGCAGTCGTGTTCATTATTAGCAGAGGAATGGAGACGTCAACACTTCTCACCGCAGAATGGATCGCCCAAACTTGCTGGTCGTACGCTTCCGTTTTCTCAATTTTAAACCCCGATCGCTCGGCGAGGACGCAGAACTTGTCCAGCGTGTTTCCTCTTTGCGGAGCAAACACCAGCACAGTCCCCTTGGACAAAGACCGGCAGAGACACGCAAAACCCTTTGTAGCTCAGTGTGCAAATTCAAACTAACTTAAAACTTTTTATTTTACCAGGTAAGGCCCGCTAAGCAAAATAGATTTTTTCCAGAAACGACCTGGCCACAAATGACAGGTCAACGAAGTGGCTTATCACGTGGAAATTTATAGCAGCCAAATACTCTAATAAACTCGTCTTGATTTTAAACGCGGAGGGGAAAAACCAGAGGACCCGGAGAAAAATCCACGTGACCACGGGGGAGTACATGCAAACTACAAATATACAGCAGGAGTCAGGGTCGGGATTGAATCAATGACCTCCTGTACACCAGGCGAGGCAGTTAACATCTCGCCACCGTGGCCCCCTTAATGCCCCATCTGAAGACAAGAACTCCACTGTCCCACCACACGAAAATGCCCACGGGCGCCGCCGAGCTCTTGACGGCGTAGCACTCACCCCTGGGGGCAGCAGCTTGTGCAGCGTAGCACTCACCCCTGGGGGCAGCAGCCTGTGCAGCGTAGCACTCACCCCTGCAGCCTGTGCAGCGTATCACTCACCCCTGGGGGCAGCAGCCTGTGCAGCGTAGCACTCACCCCTGGGGGCAGCAGCCTGTGCAGAGTAGCACTCACCCCTGGGGGCAGCAGCCTGTGCAGCGTAGCACTCACCCCTGGGCGCAGCAGCCTGTGCAGCGTGTCCACGAGGGAGGCCCGATAATCATCCACAAAGAGGCTGCAAGGTCACAGAGTCCGTCAGTACATTGCCCCCACAGAAGAACCACTTCCCCCCCGCCCCCCCCCCCAGTTGCAATTTACCCTGCAAACAACGGCCTCTAAAGAACCGCATCAGAACATCGCACGACAGACGCCGCCATCTCCTCCTCTACCGATGGACAATCACGAACGGCCCAGAGTGACTGGTCACCAATCGAAAACCATGGATCACGAATTGTATTGTAATGTCACTTCCCACTTTGATCATTCACCTGTGGGTCTCTATGCATATACGAGCCTCTGCATAACCCAATGCGGCTCTGTGTGAGTAAGAGGGTCTCTATAAAAGCCTGCGGATTTTTATACAAATTTAAATTATTAATCTTCACGTGAGTGTCCATCTCAAAACCATGGACCGCACACAAACATTACTGCCCGCTTCGATCATTTACCCATGGGTGTTATGAGTCTGTGGTCTTTTTACACGTCTATGGCTCTCTATGTAAATGCATTAGTCTCTATGCGAGTCTATGGTCATGTGAGTCTACGGCTCTCTATGTGAGCCTATGTTACGCTAGTGAGTCTATGAATCTCCATGTCGGCCCATGGACCGCACAGAAACACCACTGCCCATAGTAACACAACGCTGGCAGCGTTTCAGTCGCTCGCCACGAGGCTTCTAAGGCCGTCTTCTGGCTCACCCACCAGCCTCCACATGAACGTGTAAACAGTGCTCATCAACTCCCCGCCGTCCAAAACAACCCAAATACATTACGACATGCTTACACTGCTGATCTCGTCAAGGAGCATAAAACCACCACGCAAACTCCGGTCATCCTCGCGGTGGTTTTTTGCTAACCATCAAACAATGACGGTCAATGCATCGCGTGCTTTCAGATGCGCTTCTGCGGCCGTCTGGAACAATCTCCCTTCCGATGTTAGGAAGCCACTGGAGCTATGCACTTTGTTGGCTACGTGCGGTGCGAAAGAAGTTCAACGTACATACGTACGTAGAGACCCACAGACACCCATACCTACAGAGACCCATAGAGACCCATAGAACGGTTGGGTACGTACTGTAAAAAAAAAGTTCTACATACGCACGAGACACTACAGTATTGGTCACACTACTTTCCACTGACAAAAAGACTCCAGTCACAAACTCACACACACGTGGCAGGCAACATTATGGCCACCACCACGACCCCGACTGCTACACAGTGGCCGTGTGTGCAGAAACACCGCACCGTGTGCACGTCTCCACTCCGGTCCACGCGACACCCCCCCGCCGCCCCACCATCCTCATTTTCACAAATGCCAATTTTGGCTGATGTATAATAGGCAAATTGAGCTCCTGCGCACTTCACGCACCTGATAGTTGGCGAGCATGGAAAGTTGTGCCGTGCGGCGTGTGTCCCGACTCACCAGTCTGCACAAAGCAAGATGTCAAATTTTCCTTCAAGTGGAAAAATGTCCTCCTCGTTATCCCACCGTAGTACTCTAAACAGAAAAAAATACAGTTACCACTGTTAATTGAAGAAAAAAAAATCACGTTCATCTAACAGCTTTATTCACGATTCATCAGTCCCCTTTATTGCAAGATGAAACCTTTCGGATGACAGAGCAACCTTCCCAAAACCTTAATTATACAAGAAGCGTATCTGTAATTACTGTCAACTTACCGGCTTGTGACATCTGCGGCAGTAATTAAGCCAGAGGATGTATTTCTTTCCAAAATCGTGCTTACATCCATTAAATAAAACGTTAAGGGCTTTTCCTTCCAATTCAGCAGGACAGTTCAACTGATGTATTGTACGTTGTGAACTTCTTTCGTGCCGTACGTAGCCAACCATGCTAATTGGAGGTTGCGATGCACGCAATAAACCATGTTAACATCGTGCTCAAAATCATCATTTGCAATTTCTAGCCGAGCCATGCGTGACAAGACGTAGAAAAAAACACCAATTTTCGCAGACGCACGCTTCCACTCAGAAATCATTCACAAAGGATACTTTTGACGGCCTTGTCATTTCCATCCGTTAATAAAACCTCCTTAGCCTCCGATGTGATGGCAACCTGCACGGGGGTAGAAACGTAGCCACAGTTTTAAGGCCCCCCCCCCCATGATATCATTATTCACTCCGCAGATTCGGCGTGACGCTGTTATTTCCAACAAGCGTATCTTGCCACGGCGATGACGACGGCAGGCACATTAGCGCTTCGTTTTAATAAGACCTCCGCGCCTGGCGACGGCAAAATTGCCGCGAGGAGCGCTCGCGTTTCCCCGACGCCCCTACGGACGACTGCCTGTCCATCACGACTGCCCCGCGCAGTGGCGCTTTTATAAACGATTCTCGAGCCGAGCGGGGTCCGTGAGCGGTCGCGCACGGCACTCCCGAAGGGAGGAGGAGAGTGGTGTCACGACGCCACTTACCCACGGAGGCCGTCGCCCCTGTGAACCCCGCGTCCCTCGCTTCGAACAATGCAGTGACGCACGCGGGTCAAATCTCGGCATTAAAAATATCTATATAAATGGAGACGCGATTCCTTTAATACGCCTCTACATTCAAGGCACCCAGCGTCGATATCCCTTTGTGAATGCAAGCTACATTTAGCAATTTACGTTTTGCGAGCGGCGATAAGTGACGATGACATTGAAGTCTCTCTCCAGTTGACAACATCCTTTGTTGTGCGGCGCAACAGAGATGTTCGAAAATGTGCTCAAATTGCTCCCATGTAGGTTCTTACCATGAGCCCGGCCAGGCACGTCATCCCTCCTCCCAGCTCGCAGACCGAGAGCCCTCTGTTTAACGAGAAGCAGGAGGGCAACAACGAGCTCTCGACGGGACCCTCCACGGCTCAAACTCCGCGTCAACGAGCCGTGCTCGGCACGCCGCCGCTGACGCCGTCGCCACTCTCCTCCGCTACGGAAATGGTTGAGATCAGTGGTTCTTAACCAGATCAGTGGTTCTTAACCAGATCAGTGGTTCTTAACCAGATCAGTGGTTCTTAACCAGATCAGTGGTTCTTAACCAGATCAGTGGTTCTTAACCAGAACAGTGGTTCTTAACCAGATCAGTGGTTCTTAACCAGATCAGTGGTTCTTAACCAGAACAGTGGTTCTTAACCAGATCAGTGGTTCTTAACCAGATCAGTGGTTCTTAACCAGAACAGTGGTTCTTAACCAGATCAGTGGTTCTTAACCAGATCAGTGGTTCTTAAACAGAACAGTGGTTCTTAACCAGAACAGTGGTTTTTAACCAGAACAGTGGTTCTTAACCAGATCAGTGGTTCTTAACCAGATCAGTGGTTCTTAACCAGATCAGTGGTTCTTAACCAGAACAGTGGTTCTTAACCAGATCAGTGGTTCTTAGCCAGATCAGTGGTTCTTAACCAGATCAGTGGTTCTTAACCAGATCAGTGGTTCTTAACCAGATCAGTGGTTCTTAACCAGAACAGTGGTTCTTAACCAGAACAGTGGTTCTTAACCAGATCAGTGGTTCTTAACCAGAACAGTGGTTCTTAACCAGATCAGTGGCTCTTAACCAGATCAGTGGTTCTTAACCAGAACAGTGGTTCTTAACCAGATCAGTGGTTCTTAACCAGATCAGTGGTTCTTAACCAGATCAGTGGTTCTTAACCAGATCAGTGGTTCTTAACCAGATCAGTGGTTCTTAACCAGAACAGTGGTTCTTAACCAGAACAGTGGTTCTTAACCAGATCAGTGGTTCTTAACCAGAACAGCGGTTCTTAACCAGATCAGTGGTTCTTAACCAGATCAGTGGTTCTTAACCAGATCAGTGGTTCTTAACCAGATCAGTGGTTCTTAACCAGATCAGTGGTTCTTAACCTCGGGTGCACACAAACTCCTGGGGGTGTGAGATGCCCTTTCTGGTGATGCGAGACACGGGCAGATTTGTTTTCGAAGGTAAATCGTCGAAACACAAATTAAGCACAGGGACGTAAGCACAACTTACTATGTTTCATGCAACCTACGTATTTATTAACATAATAGTTTTTTTTGACGATTGAGAATCAAAGAGGTGCAAGGCTGCCGTAAACGTTCAGAACCACTGGTTTAGAAGCCCAACCCGCACGTTTCTTTACCTGAACATGTGCCTGTGTTTAATGCAGTAGAATGCCATGACCTCTTCTGCAGGCCACACACCTGGATCGATGGACATAGGAGGGGGCAAGGGGGACATACGCGTTCAGTTGAACAGAGAACTCAGAACAGAGAGGCCCAAACAGCAGAACAATGCAAGCATGATCATTTGTTAACCCGTCAAATATGTGCAAAGCCGTATGAATACAAAACAAATGTATATTCCGATGAAAATAAATAAATTCTGTTTTGAATATGCATAGCACTTTTATAAATCCACTGGATGAGGTCCTCCCCACGTCATGTCGATTATGGTGTTTAACCATACTTCACCACACCGGGACTAGGACCAGTTCAGACATCATTCGCCAACTATGATAGCCGTGGCTGGAAATTTAATTCAGGTCGGCGGGTTCATAGTGTAATGTGTTAACCACTAAACTACCGCTCCATCCCCATTTGTATTTCAGCTGTCGAAATTCTGGAACCCTTTCAACTTTCTAATTCTCATCACAAGAGCCCCTTATGCACATGCCACTGGGCTGTCCGATGCTCAAGGTAAGGACTCTCCCTGACTATGACAAGGCCCATTCATTGCCGTGCAGCAATTGCATGAAGTTCATGCCCGTGTTTCCTTGGTGGGCTGTGGGTAATACCATCACTGACCATGTTCCGTTTATCTCACGTGCACGTTTACAGCGCTTTGTCCACCCACTGCTGGATGATGCAGTATCTATCACGGGGGATTGTTTCACCATACTTTACACCACGTTGGTCGGTGTGGGTTGTGGAAGGGGCGGGGGGACCTTGGACAGCATCAGATGTCACTGCCCACTGTCAGTTATCCATAGCTGAGAATCAAACTCGGGTCGATGGGTTTATGGCGCAGACCTCTAACCGCTGCAGCACCGCTCCAGCCTTTTGTATAAATCCCCGGTGGTTATCCCTCTGATATGAGGCTGCGCCGCCGGCGATAGCGGCCTTTTATTTATTTGTGCCCGCACATCATTACCGACGCAGACCCTTCAATGTTGTTGCGTCCATCCAGCAAACGAGTTTCTTGCCAAAACTGGAAACAAACGTAAACGCTCGCTTGCACCGTCGCAGGCAATCGCCTTCCTTACGTGCACAGCGCCCCCCCCCCCCCCCCCCCCCCATGATAGTGGAGAGAGAGCGAGAGAGCGGCTGTGGGAAACACAACGCTGGCCGAGACAGCCTGACCTCCAGGCCCGGCTACGGTCACCCCGCTCCTCCGCGCCGGTGGAGGGGGTTGAAGGACTGCCCTCTAATTGGTCGCACTCTTCGTGCGACAAACCCGCGGATTGAAAGGCTCTACCTTTTTAATAGCGGCCCTTACGGCGCTAATGACATGCGGCTTGACTGTCCGTCACGCACGCGTGAGATGCAAATTTGCAAAGGGGGGGGGGGGGTCTCCGTTCGGTGCCTTCCATTCCATTCCTCAGTGACATTCACAACTACCCTAAGTACAAAGTGTCACGCAAGCTAATGGCATTAAACTCATACATTACGCCGCCGCACACCATTAATTACCTCGCAGGTCAGGATCGGAGAGGTACGAAACTACCCCCCCCTCCCCATCCAGCCCCCCCCCCCCCCAGGGCCACGGTAATTGAATTCGTCGTGACGTGAAAAGTCGCCGGTTAGAAAGCATATATTCATACAGTCCCAGCAGGGGAAGTTCACAGAGAAGTGTCTGCTGCCGAAAAAAATATTAAGTCAAACTTTTGGAAGTTGTACAATTGCCATCCATACACACACACGCGTGCATGATGGTACAAGCTACTTTGTCCTTTTGAGCGTTTGTAACATTCCACACCTTCCAAGCACTAAATGATCCGACAAGAGTTGATTCTGCTAAGTACATCTCTACACAGGCTGGCTTAACAGCATTAGGGGGGGCCAAAAGCCCCTTGAAACGGCGAGCAGACGCACTGCTGCTCAACGAGGCAGGTGCGAGCCACGGCGCTCCAGCGAGCCACGGCGCTCGGGGAGAACGGCTCCGCGAGGTCGCGGCGAGGAGAACCGCGCTCTGGCCGCTCTCCATAAAGAACTCCACCGTTAAGTTGTTCTCCCCCGCCTCCCTCATTTCACACTCCACTGCGCGCCTTTGTCCACCGGCTTTGCGCTGCTGGTAACAGGGTTGCCGGGGGATTAGGACTCCCCCGCCACCCCTCCCCCGTCCCTCTGTCGTTGTTTGTAGGACATGGCCGACCTGCCCTCCCCGACCCTGCATCGCCCCCCCCCACCGTACTCCCCACACACAGCCGGCGGTGGCCGGAGGCGGCGGCTGGGCACGGGGGCGGAAGAGACGGCGTGCGACAGCGGGGGATTAGCGGCAGCTCCCCGCGGCGCTCCGCTCCGCCAGCGCCGAGAACACCCGCGCGGCTCCACGATCCGGAGAGAAAGCGCAACGCTGCCAGAACGAAGCGGGCGGACAGAGAGGGGGGGGGGGGGGGGGCGCGAGCGCCACTCTGCGCGCGCTTCGATGCGGCGTCCGACGTTTTAGCTCCACGCGCCGGCAAGCTTCTTGTTGAATTCGGCGCCAGAAGAAGGTTCCGGCGCGTAGAGCGAAACGTCGGGCGCCGTGTCGAACAACACACCTGAGAACACGCGGGAAGACCGTGAGGCACGGCCGCGAAAAGCTACGCGCAGGGCGGGGAGGTCGGCTCCGCGACAAGCGAGGGTCATCGGCGGGGAGAGAGAGAGAGGGAGGGAACACCGCGGCTCTGGCTCCGTGGCTCCTTCAGTGGCCGCCTCTCAAGAGCCGCAGGGTTACGGGAAGCGACCCGCTGCAGGACCGACGTGTCTGCTGCGAGCGTGGCCGCCGCGTGACGCGCTCACGGGGCGCAGGGTTCACACCGGCCTCTGGGCAATCTCCGTGGACTCGAGTCGAAATTAAAAAGCCTTCCAACGCGAAAGTCGGAAAATTCCATTTCCGTGAGTTTTAACGAGCTTACGACAAAAGGGACGCGACTGTTGTGCGCCCCCTTTTGAGAAGAACATTTCCCGACGTCAAAGGCAACTCGGTGGGAACAGTGCGGGGGGGGGGGGGGGGGGGCGATGGCGCAGAGCGAGCGCCGGGCTGCGGCTCGGCAGTGCTTCAGATCGCACGCACGCGGCGCGGGGAGACGACACGGGATCTTCCGTGATCTTGAAAGCTTAATTATACATCACGCCTGCAGGCCTGAAGGGTCTAATCAAATGCAATATCCCGCGTCCGTGTCACGACGGCTCTAATTTCATCTCAATCACCAACGAGGGGGTTTTACACCGAGATGCCGAACAAATCCTCGTGCGGCTTTACGGCCTTACTTAAGATACAAATTGTGTTACACCCGCCAATTTAAAAGTGTTCTTCGGATCCGTAGCGGCCCCGGAGTGTTTGCGAAGAGCGGCCGTGGCGCTTCCCACCGCGCTCGCCGAGAGCGGGCGCTCCGTGTGCGCCAGCGCTCGACCCCCCCCCCCCTCGCGCGCCCAGACGCGGCGAGAAAGGTTCAAATTAGCGGCGGCAGGCGGGTCGTGGGCCGGCGCCGTTGCCTGGAGACTAAAAGGGTCCCCTCGGGCGAGTGTCCGAGAGTTAACATTAGCGAGGAGGTAATGAGCGGGCGCGAGGCGTTAGCGGAGGCATGACGGGGGGGGGGGGGGGTGCCGCCCGCAGCTTCATTAGCTCATCTGAGGGGGGCCCCCCCCTCATTGCCAACACTCTGTGCGCTCCTCACCCCACTTTGCCGACACCGCTACATTCCTCCGATACTTTTGAGCGGAACCTGGTGAGGGGGCAACGCTGGCCGCCGAGGCAGCGGTGGGCCGTGAGGGCACGGCGGGGGTGGGGTAGCTCGTGCTGCGGGATGGCGGGGCACCATTACACCCCCCCCCCCCCGCCCACGTGGACATTTGCTTGTTCATCCAGGAGAGCCACACTGAGTCGTACGACTCTATGTCGTACGACTCTTTGTCGTACGACTCTTTGTCCAGAGGGCACCTTCATTGGGTTTTTATTTTGAGATGCGTTCGGCCAATTAATGGCGGGTCCTGTTTATGATTTGTGTACGAGGCTGTACTTGTCCTACTCCCTGCATATCTTTGTTTCACAGCTCACAAAAACATCACAACGCTACAGCCTTCGTTCTCAGTCAGTGCTCTCTTCAACAGTACCTAGGGCAAGCACTCAAATGGGGAAACAATAATTTTCCTATCATTCTCCTGTTATGAATTACAAACGATTTTCAAGCTGGAGAAGGGGGTATCACTGTCTGAATTCAAAGCTCTGATAGAAGAAAATGTCATTGACCACTGCAATTGTTTTTAATGTTTTGCACTATACTATTTCGTGTTGTGCGTGTGGTGATTTCTTGTTGCGGACTTCTTGCCAGGTCCCCCTCGCAAAAGAGGTGTTTCACCTCAAGGTTTTTTTTACCTGGCTAAATAAAGGTGAAATAAATTAATTAATTACACGACAAGTGGGAGGAGGAAACCAGAGGACCCGGAGAAAACCGACGCCTTGTGCGAGGGGGCAATGCTCCATCGCCTTACAGATGGACACCGCTGGCGATTAGTCCACTTGCTGTAGCGCCATCTCCTGGCGAGCCAGGGCGTGGCACCTCCTCGACGCCCACAGGAGGGGAGTTTCACAAGGTCTTTGTGTGATCCACCAATCCCTGATGCCTCCACAGTGCGAGCTTACAGGCCACGTGCATACCCACCGCTGCCCGGAAGTGGTGATTCAAACACAAAACAACTTCATCCAGCGCCCTCTTCCTGTGTTTGTGGTGTGCAGATGCAAACCCGGGTGCTCGCGTAAAGCGCCATGGGAAAACGGGTCTCCAATTTTCCGCGTGTCTAAAAACCGAAGCGTTTGGTATTCAAAAATCCAAAAGAAAAACCCTTGAAGGAGAGGTGGTCGGGTGGCTCAGAGGTGAGAGCGATCAGCTTGCACCGCTGAGATCCACGGTTGGAATCCGGTTGCGATTCAACTGGGTTCTCCAATGTCGTGAGCCGATGGTCTCAGCTCATTCATCGATGACTGCACAAGTAAAATTCGGTTTGGCACTAAATTTGGCTGAATTCCAGCTCCAAGAATAAAAAATGTTGCCTGTCATGTGATGAAGACGACTCTGAGTGGCAGAGCGATTGGGAAAGTGCTGCCTCCCCTACTTTGCGAATCACAGGTCATTTGAAGGGATCTCAGAAGTAGTTCTGCGACATCTACTTCAGCGGACCTGTCCTCTAACACGAAGGGTTGTACTGCCATGTGAGAGATCCAAATGTGTTCTTCACATCAGGGCTGGACACTGATAACACAATCAGGACAAGGGTGGAGAATTTTTGCTTAAACAATAAAAAAATTAACAAGACACCTTCCATATAAAAATAGCCGTGAACATAACCGTGTACTAAAAGAACAAGTAAAATAATCGTTGATTTAAAATCATTTCACTATCACCGAAATCTCTGCTCAGAGGATGGAACATCACACGAAGTCAAAGGCCGCTCAAATGGGAATGTATCCCTTCACGTAACCACGTAAACCATTTAATTGCCGACGCGGGACAAACAACCCGGACCCCCACGGCCGTCCTTTGTACGCTCACGACAATGAGGACACAGAGCCCCCCGCGGGGGTTACGGGGCGGCGGTCAAAGCCGGGCCGGCGCTGGGCGGCACCGAGCGGCGTGCCCCCCCGCCGATGAGGCCGCGGTCCGGGAGCCGGCGGTGCTGAAGCGGCAGCGGCCACACGCCGCCACGGCACCCTGCCGTGAGTGACAGCAGAGGTGATTAGAGTAATGGGTGGACGAGGTTGTTGCCCCGCCCACCCGCTCGGATCCCACGCAGTGGAAGATCAAACGGAGTCGCCGGTGGGCAAGCGGAACGTAAACTAGCAGAAGTCTGTGCCTATAGCTCATCGGATCCGTCCAGTACGATAAATATTCTGAAGTGGGCGTGCGGATCCGCTTGGGCCCGTGCGTGGCTCGTGCCGTGGCTCGCTCCAAAGGGAGCGCGGGGAGATTGGCACGAGGTCGCAGTGCCACCGTGTATCGGGTTGTCACAAGCGTCCCACTTGGAAAACGTTCTGGCAGTCACACGAGCGACAGAGTGCGCAGGCTGCGCAACTGCACCAGGTCCTGCAGGGTACGAAGAGGTAGGCGGGAGGGGCAGGGCGCACGGGGGGGGCCCCATTTCGACTCCTCGCGCCGGGGACCGTGCCCGAGCGCGCTGCAGGGGCTCCAGAAACGATGCCTGGAGGGGCATCGTTTTATAATCCGCCAGAAGGTTATTTAATTAAAACGTCTCTGGAACTCGTCTAATGCGAAGTGGCGCATCACATGAGCGACGCTGGTGTCGGCAGAATTAAGCCGCCGGTACAAGGTCCGAGACGCTTTGCCGCTCCAATGGACGTGCGGCGCTCCCCTGCAGCCCTGGGCCAGCGGCGGACAATCCCACACTTGGACGGCGGTGGCGAGCCATCGCAGGGCACCACATTGCACGGAAACAGCGCCACTTTGCACGAGGAGGACTCCCGACGGTTAGATGAACTTGCGAACTTCCCATCGGAAGCCACGTCAGCCACCCAGGCCTTTTGTCGCAGCCTCCAGTCAACCTTCCCCGGTGGGGGTGTCGCTCATTCCCCTCTGCAGCTCCCTTCCCCCAGCCATCTGTGCTGTTGACTCCTTGCCCCTGTTCAAGTCCAGATTTCAAAACCTTCCTTTTTACCTTTTTATCTCTGCCTATGATCGACGACTGCCTCCAAGTAGGAAATAAACACCTTGAGACGAGGCTGCATTCACACGCCGCACCGTGCGTTTGTGTCTGGGATGTGCGGCGTGTGAATTGACGCCGCCCACCGACCGTCTACGAGTGTGTGTAGGCCCATAATTGGTTGTGCACGTGCGTGTAGATAGGTGCGTGGGGGCGTGGATTTGTGAGCCTGGGATGTGTCGTGCCGCGTCGTGAGCGCGTACTCACACACGTTGCCCGTGTTGTCGAAGCTGTTGAGGACGTCTTTGAGATTGACGGCGCCCACCGACTGTCTGCGAACACACAAATCAAGCGGCGGCGCTAATGTTCCACCTCATTATTCCAATTACCTTCACGAGTAACAACCTTGCCAGTGTACACATCGGCACTTAATGGGGCTCTCAGGCTGCCGAGTAACGCGAGGGCAATTTGACTGTCGCCCGCGACGTTGTTATGAAGATGAGCCGCCGGCGATGATGAGCTGCGAGGAGGAGGAATTGGCTCCGTAGCCAAGGGGGCTCACGGGGATAATTCGGGCCCTAATTTAGAGGCGAAGCCCGCGAATGCCTGCGTGACAAATCCACAAATAGTAAAAGGTACAACAAGGAAACTGAGTATTCTTGGTTCTTTCGGTAAAGTCACGAAGAAGGGAAATAATAAAATAAATTAAACAATAAAATTATCACGACGTTTCGATTGCAACACAATCAATCATCATCAGGTGTGAAAACCACAGCAAGACAATTTGAAAAAAGTGGCGGTCGAAACGTCGTGAGAATTTTATAGTTTTACTTTTATTATTTTATTATTTCCCTTCTACGTGACTTTACCGAAAGAACCAAGAATATGAATCCCTGCAGTCACGAAAGCTTTAAATCGAAATTTAAAGGAAACTGAGATTTGGGACACCTGGGAGGTTAGTTCTGAGTGCGTGTGGTTCGTGTGCGAGTGGGTATGTGGGTGTGTGCAGATGAGTGGCAGTGTAGCGGCTGACCCGAGTTCAATTCATGCTCATGACCGATAACAGTGATGATTATCTCTACCGGTTCTGGGTCTCCCCTAGGTCGGACTCAGCCTCAAATGATTACCTGGTGCGGTGTGCAAACATCAGCACCAGGGAGACAAAGGCGGCTGGCCATGGTGCTGGCCACGCACCCCCTCGTGTGTCATTCCGACCTTCATAGGTGCTCGCTAACAGCACTTGCCCCAATGGTCTGTTCAGGCTATACGGGAGATCTTTGTCTTTGTGGGTTGTGCGTGGGAATGTGTGCGTGTAGGTGCTTTCGTGCGACTGTGTGGGTGCATGGGTTTGTGAGTGCATGTGTCAGTCGGTTGTGTGTGGTAGGGTGTGTGCGTGGAAAGGTGTGTGCAAGTGTGTGGATGCATGGGTGTGCGAGCACGGGCGAGTGGGTTGTGTTGGTGCATGGATGTTATAATTTATACCGCGCCTCCCATGCAGCACATCCAATCACCAGGACAAAGGGGTATTTGAGATAATTACTCAGTGATAAAGTGATTACAGCTAAAACACAATGTTCAGTAACAATTAAGCGTAGACGATATACACGGCAAATGAAAATAAACTAAATTGAAAAGTAAAAATGTTCTTGAGGCTACTCTCTGCGAGTGTGTGTAGCTTCATAATTGCTTGTGGACGTGCGTGTAGCTAGGTGCGTGAGTGCGCGGATTTGTGAGTCTGGGATGTGTATATGCATGAGTGTTGTGTGCGATTGGATTCATCACGTGTGTTCATAATTACACGTGTGGGTTTGTGAGTGTAGTTTGTGCTTCGGATGGCTAAAACGCAGCAATTTGCTACAGTGGGGAACACAGGTGGTGCATCTGCCAGTCATCTGTTAGTCAACCCACGGCACTTGGGTCTGTCCTGTGACCTCCTGTCAGCAACGAGCCTTCGATACTTCACATGACCTCAAAGTGGACCTCGTCTGGCATCAGCGCCATAGTGATGTCACTGCCACTTAGTGGCGAATGGCGGCCCTTGTTGTTGTTGAAACCAGAAATGATTGTGTGAGGAGCACACAGATCCTTAAAAGGTCTAGACACAGTCCCATCAGTGAGCTCCTCCGGCAAGTGAGGCTGCATTGGCGGGGTCATGTAGATCACATGCCCAGCCAGCACATGCGCAAGCAGCTTCTGCTTGGCTGGATAGATGGGGCTAAGCGGGCACGGCATGGGCTAATAGAAGGACAGATGCGGTGCACAAATATGTGGAGTTGTTTGGACTTGTAGATGACTCGTACCAACAGTGTCAAGATCGACCTCTGTGGAGCAAGCACCTACAGTGGAGAGCAGAGAAGCGATGCTCACAAGAATGAACAGAGCACTGGGTGGCTAAAACGCAGCAAGTTGGCACAGTAAGGAGCACAATCAGTTAATCCATTGCACGTGGGTCTGTCCCGTGACCTCCTGTCAACGGGCCTTCGACACTTCACGTTCCCTCAAAGTGCACCTAGTGTGGCACCAACGCTCCAGTGACCTTAAGCACAAAGTGCTTGTTACAAATGAGCCACAATACCTTGTTGATCTCGCCAAGGAGCATAAACCATCACGCAAACCCCGGTTATCCTCGCAGAAGCTTTCGACTAACCATCGAACAAAGACGGTCATTTTATCGCGTGCTTTCAGATGGGCTTCTGCGGCCATCTGGAATGCTCTTCCTTCCGATATTAAGAAGCCACTGGAGCTATGGACTATTAAATCTAGATTTAAAACTAATTTCTCTCGTACTGCCTTTTGTGCTGAGTTTGTTGTCCTTCCAATGAGTACGGTTGGCTACGTACGGTGTGAAAGAAGTTAAACATACATACGCAGTGGCGAATGGCAGTTGTTGTTGTAGTATCCAATGCGGTAGTCCAGCGGTTAGCGCGAGCGCTAGGAACTCGGCAAATCCTAGTTCGATTTCCGATATGAACTAGGCCCAGGCCTGCCCAAGGTCTATTCGGCTTCAAATGAGTACCTACTGTGATGTTTAAACATTGCCACTCGGGTGACAAAGCCAGCCACGCGTGGTGCTGGCCACCCACCCCCTCGTGTGCCGTTGCCAGCCCTCATAGGTGCTCGCAAACAGCACTTGCCCCAACAGTCAGTCACAGCCTACGTAGGGGGGGGTCTGTCGTGTAGCATGTGGCAGTGGCAGCATCCCCTCACCGGATGAGCGCATGGCGCGGCAGCATCTGTGAGCAGGAGAATCGGAGCCACTCGGCTCCACCCGGGGCCTCCTCGTCCTCCCCGTGCCGCTCCACCCTGAAGAGCCCAAACGAAGCAAAGCGACGCACGGAGGCGGAGGAGGCAGCCCTCGGCTCCACGCAGCCAGAGCGCAACGCCTGTGGAGGGGAGGGAGAGACCATCGCGGACCACCCCCGTCAAGTCACGGTCAGTAACGGAGTTCTGCGTGGGGGTCCCCGAGGACTGTGGACCCCGATAGAAGCAGCCTGTGGAGGCCTTCATCCGGCAGGGAATTGACTGACGATGATGACGATGATGACGATGATGACGTTTTCATGTTTGTGCGTGATTTTGTTTTATCGCTCCCGTAGCGTAACACACAGCTGCAGATTACCAATTTGAAAGGCGCTTTATGAAAAATGAGTTTATTATTCTAATATTATTTCATTGCAAATTGTCGTTTTGGTGACCCAGGTGAATGTTGTAAATTAAACTACCTCGGTCTCTTGAGTTCTTACCTGGTTAAACAAATACTCCTGACTTGATCATAATCATCGTTCATTCACTGCTTGACGTGGCACCACGCACAAGTCCTAAGCAGTTGACACTGCATTTATTTCACGACATTCTAATAAATGTCGGAGTCTATTTTGAAACAAGAATCAGTCAATTGGTTCAACAGTAGAGCGAGCGGCTCGCAATCGGATGGTTGCGAGGTCAAATCCCCGTTAGGGGCAGTTGACTAAGCTCATCATCCCTTTGGGGTGTATAAAATGACTCCCGCACCCTCCTGCTGCTGCTCTATAGGCAGCCGTGGTTACTGAGAGTGGCAGTCAGTCTTTACCCGGCTCATTGAGCCACAAGATTCTACCTGGCTCTGCCATAGTCTGGCTCACTGAGCCGCAGTCTCTACCCAGCTCTGCCATAGTCTGGCTCAATGAGCCATGAGATTCTCCCCGGCTCTGCCATAGTCTGGCTCAATGAGCCACCAGTCTCTACCCGGCTCTGCCATAGTCTGGCTCACTGAGCCACGAGATTCTCCCCAGCTCTGCCATAGTCTGGCTCACTGAGCCACAGTCTCTACCCGGCTCTGCCATAGTCTGGCTCAATGAGCCGCAGTCTCTCCCCGGCTCTGCCAGTCTGGCTCAATGAGCCACGAGATTCTTCCCGGCTCTGCCATAGTCTGGCTCACTGAGCCGCAGTCTCTAACGGCTCTGCCATAGTCTGGCTCATTGAGCTACGATATTCTCCCCGGCTCTGCCATAGTCTGGCTCAATGAGCCGCAGTCTCTCCCTGGCTCTGCCATAGTCTGGCTCACTGAGCCTCAGTCTCTCCCCCGCTCTGCCATAGTCTGGCTCACTGAGCCGCAGTCTCTACCCAGCTCTGCCACAGTCTGGCTCAATGAGCCGCAGACTCTACCCAGCTCTGCCATAGTCTGGCTCACTGAGCCGCAGTCTCTACCCAGCTCTGCCACAGTCTGGCTCAATGAGCCGCAGTCTCTACCCGGCTCTGCCATAGTCTGGCTCACTGAGCCTCAGTCTCTACCCAGCTCTGCCATAGTCTGGCTCACTGAGCCGCAGTCTCTACCCAGCTCTGCCACAGTCTGGCTCACTGAGCCGCAGTCTCTACCCAGCTCTGCCACAGTCTGGCTCACTGAGCCGCAGTCTCTCCCCGGCTCTGCCACAGTCTGGTTCACTGAGCCACAGTCTCTACCCAGCTCTGCCACAGTCTGGCTCACTGAGCCGCAGTCTCTACCCAGCTCTGCCACAGTCTGGCTCACTGAGCCGCAGTCTCTACCCAGCTCTGCCATAGTCTGGCTCACTGAGCCGCAGACTCTACCCAGCTCTGCCATAGTCTGGCTCACTGAGCCGCAGTCTCTACCCGGCTCTGCCATAGTCTGACTCACTGAGCCGCAGTCTCTACCCGGCTCTGCCATAGTCTGGCTCAATGAGCCGCAGTCTCTACCCGGCTCTGCCATAGTCTGGCTCAATGAGCCGCAGTCTCTACCCAGCTCTGCCATAGTCTGGCTCACTGAGCCGCAGTCTCTACCCGGCTCTGCCATAGTCTGGCTCACTGAGCCGCAGTCTCTACCCGGCTCTGCCATAGTCTGGCTCAATGAGCCGCAGTCTCTACCCAGCTCTGCCATAGTCTGGCTCAATGAGCCGCAGTCTCTACCCAGCTCTGCCATAGTCTGGCTCAATGAGCCGCAGTCTCTACCCAGCTCTGCCATAGTCTGGCTCACTGAGCCGCAGTCTCTACCCAGCTCTGCCATAGTCTGGCTCAATGAGCCGCAGTCTCTACCCAGCTCTGCCATAGTCTGGCTCACTGAGCCGCAGTCTCTACCCAGCTCTGCCATAGTCTGGCTCACTGAGCCGCAGTCTCTACCCAGCTCTGCCATAGTCTGGCTCAATGAGCCGCAGTCTCTACCCAGCTCTGCCATAGTCTGGCTCACTGAGCCGCAGTCTCTACCCAGCTCTGCCATAGTCTGGCTCACTGAGCCGCAGTCTCTACCCAGCTCTGCCATAGTCTGGCTCAATGAGCCGCAGTCTCTACCCAGCTCTGCCATAGTCTGGCTCAATGAGCCGCAGTCTCTACCCAGCTCTGCCATAGTCTGGCTCACTGAGCCGCAGTCTCTACCCAGCTCTGCCATAGTCTGGCTCACTGAGCCGCAGTCTCTACCCAGCTCTGCCATAGTCTGGCTCAATGAGCCGCAGTCTCTACCCAGCTCTGCCACAGTCTGGCTCAATGAGCCGCAGTCTCTACCCGGCTCTGCCATAGTCTGGCTCACTGAGCCGCAGTCTCTCCCCGGCACTGTCATAGTCTGGCTCACTGAGCCGCATTCTCTACCCAGCTCTGCCATAGTCTGGCTCACTGAGCCGCAGTCTCTACCCAGCTCTGCCATAGTCTGGCTCACTGAGCCGCAGTCTCTACCCAGCTCTGCCATAGTCTGGCTCACTGAGCCGCAGTCTCTACCCAGCTCTGCCATAGTCTGGCTCACTGAGCCGCAGTCTCTACCCAGCTCTGCCATAGTCTGGCTCAATGAGCCGCATTCTCTACCCAGCTCTGCCATAGTCTGGCTCACTGAGCCGCAGTCTCTACCCAGCTCTGCCATAGTCTGGCTCACTGAGCCGCAGTCTCTACCCAGCTCTGCCATAGTCTGGCTCACTGAGCCGCAGTCTCTACCCAGCTCTGCCATAGTCTGGCTCACTGAGCCGCAGTCTCTACCCAGCTCTGCCATAGTCTGGCTCAATGAGCCGCAGTCTCTACCCAGCTCTGCCATAGTCTGGCTCACTGAGCCGCAGTCTCTCCCCAGCTCTGCCATAGTCTGGCTCAATGAGCCGCAGTCTCTACCCAGCTCTGCCATAGTCTGGCTCAATGAGCCGCAGTCTCTACCCGGCTCTGCCATAGTCTGGCTCAATGAGCCGCAGTCTCTCCCCAGCTCTGCCATAGTCTGGCTCAATGAGCCGCAGTCTCTACCCAGCTCTGCCATAGTCTGGCTCACTGAGCCGCAGTCTCTACCCGGCTCTGCCATAGTCTGGCTCAATGAGCCGCAGTCTCTACCCAGCTCTGCCATAGTCTGGCTCAATGAGCCGCAGTCTCTACCCAGCTCTGCCATAGTCTGGCTCAATGAGCCGCAGTCTCTACCCAGCTCTGCCATAGTCTGGCTCACTGAGCCGCAGTCTCTACCCAGCTCTGCCATAGTCTGGCTCAATGAGCCGCAGTCTCTACCCAGCTCTGCCATAGTCTGGCTCACTAAGCCGCAGTCTCTACCCAGCTCTGCCATAGTCTGGCTCACTGAGCCGCAGTCTCTACCCAGCTCTGCCATAGTCTGGCTCAATGAGCCGCAGTCTCTACCCAGCTCTGCCATAGTCTGGCTCACTGAGCCGCAGTCTCTACCCAGCTCTGCCATAGTCTGGCTCACTGAGCCGCAGTCTCTACCCAGCTCTGCCATAGTCTGGCTCAATGAGCCGCAGTCTCTACCCAGCTCTGCCATAGTCTGGCTCAATGAGCCGCAGTCTCTACCCAGCTCTGTCTCTACCCAGCTCTGCCATAGTCTGGCTCACTGAGCCGCAGTCTCTACCCAGCTCTGCCATAGTCTGGCTCAATGAGCCGCAGTCTCTACCCAGCTCTGCCATAGTCTGGCTCACTGAGCCGCAGTCTCTACCCAGCTCTGCCATAGTCTGGCTCACTGAGCCGCAGTCTCTACCCAGCTCTGCCATAGTCTGGCTCAATGAGCCGCAGTCTCTACCCAGCTCTGCCATAGTCTGGCTCAATGAGCCGCAGTCTCTACCCAGCTCTGCCATAGTCTGGCTCACTGAGCCGCAGTCTCTACCCAGCTCTGCCATAGTCTGGCTCACTGAGCCGCAGTCTCTACCCAGCTCTGCCATAGTCTGGCTCAATGAGCCGCAGTCTCTACCCAGCTCTGCCACAGTCTGGCTCAATGAGCCGCAGTCTCTACCCGGCTCTGCCATAGTCTGGCTCACTGAGCCGCAGTCTCTCCCCGGCACTGTCATAGTCTGGCTCACTGAGCCGCATTCTCTACCCAGCTCTGCCATAGTCTGGCTCACTGAGCCGCAGTCTCTACCCAGCTCTGCCATAGTCTGGCTCACTGAGCCGCAGTCTCTACCCAGCTCTGCCATAGTCTGGCTCACTGAGCCGCAGTCTCTACCCAGCTCTGCCATAGTCTGGCTCACTGAGCCGCAGTCTCTACCCAGCTCTGCCATAGTCTGGCTCACTGAGCCGCATTCTCTACCCAGCTCTGCCATAGTCTGGCTCACTGAGCCGCAGTCTCTACCCAGCTCTGCCATAGTCTGGCTCACTGAGCCGCAGTCTCTACCCAGCTCTGCCATAGTCTGGCTCACTGAGCCGCAGTCTCTACCCAGCTCTGCCATAGTCTGGCTCACTGAGCCGCAGTCTCTACCCAGCTCTGCCATAGTCTGGCTCAATGAGCCGCAGTCTCTACCCAGCTCTGCCATAGTCTGGCTCACTGAGCCGCAGTCTCTCCCCAGCTCTGCCATAGTCTGGCTCAATGAGCCGCAGTCTCTACCCAGCTCTGCCATAGTCTGGCTCAATGAGCCGCAGTCTCTACCCGGCTCTGCCATAGTCTGGCTCAATGAGCCGCAGTCTCTCCCCAGCTCTGCCATAGTCTGGCTCAATGAGCCGCAGTCTCTACCCAGCTCTGCCATAGTCTGGCTCACTGAGCCGCAGTCTCTACCCGGCTCTGCCATAGTCTGGCTCAATGAGCCGCAGTCTCTACCCAGCTCTGCCATAGTCTGGCTCAATGAGCCGCAGTCTCTACCCAGCTCTGCCATAGTCTGGCTCAATGAGCCGCAGTCTCTACCCAGCTCTGCCATAGTCTGGCTCACTGAGCCGCAGTCTCTACCCAGCTCTGCCATAGTCTGGCTCAATGAGCCGCAGTCTCTACCCAGCTCTGCCATAGTCTGGCTCACTAAGCCGCAGTCTCTACCCAGCTCTGCCATAGTCTGGCTCACTGAGCCGCAGTCTCTACCCAGCTCTGCCATAGTCTGGCTCAATGAGCCGCAGTCTCTACCCAGCTCTGCCATAGTCTGGCTCACTGAGCCGCAGTCTCTACCCAGCTCTGCCATAGTCTGGCTCACTGAGCCGCAGTCTCTACCCAGCTCTGCCATAGTCTGGCTCAATGAGCCGCAGTCTCTACCCAGCTCTGCCATAGTCTGGCTCAATGAGCCGCAGTCTCTACCCAGCTCTGTCTCTACCCAGCTCTGCCATAGTCTGGCTCACTGAGCCGCAGTCTCTACCCAGCTCTGCCATAGTCTGGCTCACTGAGCCGCAGTCTCTACCCAGCTCTGCCATAGTCTGGCTCACTGAGCCGCATTCTCTACCCAGCTCTGCCATAGTCTGGCTCACTGAGCCGCAGTCTCTACCCAGCTCTGCCATAGTCTGGCTCACTGAGCCGCAGTCTCTACCCAGCTCTGCCATAGTCTGGCTCACTGAGCCGCAGTCTCTACCCAGCTCTGCCATAGTCTGGCTCACTGAGCCGCAGTCTCTACCCAGCTCTGCCATAGTCTGGCTCAATGAGCCGCAGTCTCTACCCAGCTCTGCCATAGTCTGGCTTACTGAGCCGCAGTCTCTCCCCAGCTCTGCCATAGTCTGGCTCAATGAGCCGCAGTCTCTACCCAGCTCTGCCATAGTCTGGCTCAATGAGCCGCAGTCTCTACCCGGCTCTGCCATAGTCTGGCTCAATGAGCCGCAGTCTCTCCCCAGCTCTGCCATAGTCTGGCTCAATGAGCCGCAGTCTCTACCCAGCTCTGCCATAGTCTGGCTCAATGAGCCGCAGTCTCTACCCAGCTCTGCCATAGTCTGGCTCACTGAGCCGCAGTCTCTACCCAGCTCTGCCATAGTCTGGCTCAATGAGCAGCAGTCTCTACCCAGCTCTGCCATAGTCTGGCTCACTGAGCCGCAGTCTCTCCCCGGCTCTGCCATAGTCTGGCTCACTGAGCCGCAGTCTCTACCCGGCTCTGCCATAGTCTGGCTCACTGAGCCGCAGTCTCTACCCGGCTCTGCCATAGTCTGGCTCACTGAGCCGCAGTCTCTACCCGGCTCTGCCATAGTCTGGCTCACTGAGCCGCAGTCTCTACCCAGCTCTGCCATAGTCTGGCTCACTGAGCCGCAGTCTCTACCCAGCTCTGCCATAGTCTGGCTCACTGAGCCGCAGTCTCTACCTGACGCAGGATTTCCCACCGCTGCGCCGCCTTCGCGTCTCCTCTCGCTTCCGTGGCCATCTTGGTACGGGAGAAGCCGTTGCCACGGAGACGCCGCCTGACGTCACAGCGCAAGCCGCGACAGCCAATGGGAAGAGACATCGCCCCCCACCACCCATAAGCCCCCCCCCCCATCCACCACGACCCACCCACCCCCCATCACCCCCACCCAACATGGCCAACCGTCAACTCCCACGCGGTTCCCGTACGCAACCTCCGGGAGGAACTCGGAAATCCGTCGCCGTTAATAGTTCCGGAGCCGCGGAGTTTTTTTTTTAGTTCCGAGTTCCTCCAGCCAGCTGCACGACAACAACATTGCACGTTACCCGTGATGCCCCGCGCCGGTCAAACATGGCGGCGCGCACGCGGCGCTTCCGGCACGTGTTGGTGCAGCGTGGACGGGCTTGAGGCTGGAGGTGCGCGGGCTTGAACGATCCACAAAGTCCATAACGTCCCACCTCCCCTCGCCCGCACTCGTTATCCAGTCTTGCAGGGTGCGGGGGCGCTGTTGGCATCTTTAACGAACGTCGTGAACACCGCACTCGACCACGCCACCCCCTGAAGAAGCGTGTTCAACCGACAGCACCGATGTCACCGTCGTGACCATAACCATGATCATTGTGGCCATAGGCGTTGCCAACTAGTAACCACGAAGTGAATCAAACACCTAAATAATACTTTTTAAAAACGTACAATCTACGTCAATAGCTTGCGCCTTAGTCCCATCGGCGGAATCGTTAAGTCCTCGCCCTTCCGCTCCAGCCGCTGCTTGCAGCATCACCCCAACCGGGGAGCGCTCCCGCCTCGCCTCCGCCCGCCTGGCTAAATCGAAGAACATCGTCGCAAAACACACGAAGACACGCGACTCGGTACAGAAGAGACTCCGTGCGGTGGCAGCAGCGGGCGGGGGGGGGGCGCCATGGTGCCTCTGCACGTCGCCCGGGCCTCGTTCCCCGCACTTCGCCTCCGACTCGGCGGCTTCGTGGGCCGCGCGCTCTCCGCTGCCGCCGATCGCGGCGGCGATTCGCCGGTAAACGTTCGAGAAGTGGACACGGTGCGCCGAGGGCGATGGGAGAGAAACGCTTTGACAATGCGACGGAGCGACAAATGGGGGGGAAGGACTCTAAACTTGTTTTTTTCAAGATAATAATTGGTTTTAACCTTTTCTGGCAATTAAACAGGAGGTGTTAAAGCACCAAACAGCAATCGTGTTGTACTGAATCATGTCTGCACTAACCACACGCACTTGTGGTGAACATGCAAACAACATACTCTTAAGTTTTTTTCGGTAAAGTCACCGAAGAAAAAAACCTAAGAGTATCCATCCTTGCAGTCACGAAAGCTTCAAATCTAGAATGCAAACAACAAACATGCTCTGGCAATATATGCAATGCGACAGGATTGCTTGCAAAATGTTTCTGTTTGGTGTTTAAACATTTTAACACCTTAATTTGAAGCTTTCGTGACTGCAGGGATCCATACTCTTTGGTTCTTTCGATAAAGTCACGTAGGTAGAAAAAAAAATTAACCCGTAAAAACTAAGTTTTTCACTATAAATCCTTTATATGCGTGGCGGCTAGAGTCCTCTCGTCCTCTGGCTTGAGATGGCTGCCACCTATGGGTCAGATGATTGCCTGCCACAATTAAGCAATTGGTATTTAAATATAATAAAAATTCCTAAAAAGTGTAAAGTTATGGAAAAAAAATTTCACGAAAATAAATTGTCACGCACAACGAGTCTGTGTGCAAAATGTCAGCTCGATTGGATCGCGGGAAGTGGGTTAAAAAACGACCGAAAGATTTGCACGGTCGTAAGCGCGCAAGCAAGTAAGTGAACTTAATATAAATGATTTAATAATAATAGATCACGACGTTTCGATCGCCACACAAGCAACCATCTTCAGGTGGGAGTGACTTTACCGAAATAATCAAAAAGTATCTTAACACCTGTTTTGTTACCAGAAAGGGTCAAACCAATTCTTACATATTGATACTGCCAATAAATGTCCCATGATATAAACACATTTTATTAACTTTTACCAGGTAAGGCCCACAGCTATTTCAGCTCTTTTTCAGAAGCGAACTGCAGTGACGTGCGGTGAGGTCAATGGCTGGGGAGGCACTGGCTCGTCAGAGCCAGATTCACACACTGAGGGGGCGTGGCCTCACAGAGGGGGCGTGGCCTCGCAGAGGGGGCGTGGCCTCACTGTGGGGGGCGTGTTAGACACGCCCGACTCAGTGAGGCAGATGTGATGGCTGCCTCCCCTGGTGCTTTTTCATTCCAGAGACCAGCAGGACTAAATATCTTTATACACATACGTGAAATAAGTTACCTGGATTATGGAAGCCGAGGACATGAAATGAAGGGGTCTACAAACATTGCATTGGTGACATACTGAGATAGTAACAGGCACACGCTTATTGCCCGCACTCCATCCAGTTACTGAGGGGTTGCGCAATCAGAGGGGAGGCTGAGCTCGTCGCTGCCTCACCTCTCGTCTCTTCCTGTATTTGCAGCGGAGCTCCGCAAATTTGGTGATTTTGACTAAAAATGATTGGAATCGTACAGAAATGACATTTATAACAGATCAGTGGAAAAATCTTAATATTTATTTTGTTTGATTATTCTTTTCTTTACTTTTTGTAACAGCTATTTTCATTGGAGTATGACAGGTGAGGCTCTGCCTCCCCTGCCTCCCTTGCCTCCCCTGACCGCACATCCCTGCATTACTGTACACTTTTACTTTGTCCGACACAGTCAAATTATTCTCTCATCTATGAGCCAATAATGTAAATTTTGTGTATGAAATTACGTGCTTTTGGTGTCACATCATGAGACGGAAGTTTTCATTTGGATCTCTCGGAGATTACTGTGACCCTGCGTGTTGAAGAACAGTTCTCGGAAGTGGATATTGCAGAGCGACATCTGAGATCCTTTCAATTGACACTTTGTTTCCACACGATAGAGGGCAGCACTTTCTCATTCGCCCCACTACAGAGTAATGTTCGTTATATGGCAGCCAAACCGATATTTAATTGTAACATAATTAAACTCAGATTAATATATTATGTAATGGGTGTTTTGTGCAGTCATTGGTGAACGGACGGAGAGCATCAGCTCTCTGCGCTTGAGAATCTGATGTAACCACAGGCGGCTGAAACCCCAGAATCTCAGTGGTCCCGGCTCACCGTCTTTGACCTCCGAGCCACGCGGTCGCCTCTGAATTGGTCACGTGAACACGCGGTGCGGGCAAATGTGACTCGCGGGCGCTTCGTGCCGCGCACGCGTGGCAGCAGGAGTACGCCGCTCTGCTCGAGAGCGAGGCGCGGAACTGCAAGCGAGTGTTCGACAGGGACCGGAGCAGGAGCCGCAGGATCCGGCAGAAGCTGCAGGACGCCTACGCACGGTTCACTACCGAGCACGACGACGCGACGGTGAGAGTGCCTCGATCGATCGCGACGCAACTCGGAGCGCGGTGACGCAACGCGGCATCTCGATGAGACCGCATCCCGAGACGCTGCCGATCCCAAATTGCATTGGGAGCCAGGGAAGGGATCGGAGCGCTGGGATCTCACTTATGAGTGCGGGTGGGAAGTACGAGGTATGTGTGGAGGTGAGGGATTCGGGGAGGTGAGGGATGCGGAGAGGTGAGGGATGTGTGGAGGTGAGGGGTGTGGAGGTGAGGGGTGTGGAGGTGAGGGGTGTGGAGGTGAGGGGTGTGGAGGTGAGGGATGTGGAGAGGTGAGGGATGTGTGGAGGTGAGGGATGTGGAGAGGTGAGGGATGTGTGGAGGTGAGGGATGTGTGGAGGTGAGGGGTGAGGGGAGGTGAGGGATGTGTGGAGGTGAGGGATGTGGGGAGGTGAGGGATGTGTGGAGGTGAGGGGTGAGGGGAGTTGAGGGATGTGTGGAGGTGAGGGATGTATGGAGGCTGTAGAGGAGACAGTTGCAATAGGACAAAGGCAACTTGCGATTAGTGAGCGCACATTGTTTTGCACTATATACATAGTGCTGCATGAAGATGTTTGCCAGGTTATGCATTGAGACGTGTGTTGGGAGTTGTGCATTATAAATAAATATGACTGGTGATGACAATGGTGACGACGATGGTGACGATGGTGACGACAATGGTAATGACAGTGATGACAATGGTGACCACGACGGTGATGACCATGGTGATGACGGTGACGACGGTGATGACTACGGTAACGACGATGTTGACGACGATAGTGACGATGGAAAGCCACGATCGGCTCACGTTTTTTTCCGAAGCGGACGATTCGCGCGCGTCGCTGCTCGCATCTCTATCCAAATGAAGTCTCAACTGTGCAGGTGGTGGGCGACCACGTCTACTACGAGGTGCAGGGCCGCGTCTACCGACGAGCGCTGCAAGCAGGTGACCACCACGCAGCCCGCACCGAGTCACAACAGCAGCGCCGAGTTTAGCGGCGAAACGACTCGGAGGCGTTTTCTTCCGTTTTGTTCGTTCGTAATCGACACCTCTCCGTGGCGGGGTGGGGGGTGGCACAGTGGTAACGCTTGCGCCTCACAGCGGGAAGTTCCTGGGTTGATTCCCGACTAAGGCGCCTCTCAGTGTGTTGCGTTTGTATGTTCTCCGCTGTTCTGCGTGGATTTCCTCCCATAGCTCAAACAAAACAAAAACCCCTGTACAATGTAACCGGTGTTGGCCAAATATCCCACTGCTGAGAAACAACTGGAAAATACTCGAAATAACGCAGTGCCAACATCGCCGCCCCCCCCCTCCCCCTGCAAACGCTTGGCATGACCCTCCTAAGAACGGAGAGGCTTGTGAGGCTTTCCTGTATAAAGGCGCAGCAGCAACAGCAGCATCAAATAACGATATCGTCGTGTCGTGCGGCAGCGTCGCGCGTGGGGGCCGGGCCGGAGGAGTTCCTCGTCGATCTGGACCGCACCCCGCCCGGCGCGACGTCGCGCGACGCTCGGCTCCGAGGCCTCCGCCTCTCCCCCGGACGCTCGCGCCTCGCCCTCACCGTCTCCTGCGGCGGCAGCGCCGCGCTCGCGTGCCTCGTGCTGGCGCTGCCGGGGCCCGGCCGCGCCGGCCGCCGCCGCTCGCCCGGCGCTCTCCTCCTGTGCTGCCTGCCAAGCGTCACGGCCGTCGGTGCGCCGCTCGTCCCGAGCGCGGGGGAAGCGTCCGGGATGCGACGGGGATTTGTGTGGCGGGGTCGAAACGCGGCCCGCGTGGTCGCGAGTGGCCGTGTTTGTTGTTTAAGGAGGTGGTGAGTCATCGGCAGAGGAAGAATGTTAGGTCTTGAGCTTGGACACGGGTACGCACGCTGACGCAAATGCAAAAATAAACATCCCCCGTGTAGCCTTTAACAAACAGTGCCGTTGGCGAGCACCTGTGACAGCTGGCACGGCACACAGACGTGCACGCACTTCCACAAACGCACAAACGCGCGCGGACATGCACCAAGCGCACCGACGCACGAGAATCGCCGCTTCCTCCGCCCGGGACGTACACAGACATCACCGGCGTCGCCGCCACCGTGAGCGCTGACGCAGTGCCTCCCTCTGTGCGTCAGAGTGGGCCACCGACTCGGTGCTCTACTACACGGAGGCGGCGGAGGAGCTGATCCCCCGGGCGGTGTGCGCGCTGCAGCTGGGAGACGCCGGCGCCGTGACGCACCGGCTATTCCAGGAGCACGACGAGAGGTGACCCCGCCGCCCACGCCGCCACCCGGCGCACCCCGGATCTGACCCCGTGACCCCCACCCCCTCGTCCGCCGGCGCCGCGTGACCCTCGGCGCCGCCCGTGTCGCGCAGCTGCTTCGTGGAGCTGGCGCGCACGCGCGACGGCCGGTTCGTGACGGTGAACCGCAGCTGGCGAGGCCACAGCTCCGAGGTGCTGCTGCTGGACACGGCGGCGCCGCTGTGTCCACCGCGCGTCGTGCAGGAGCGGGCGCCGGGGCTCACGTACCACGTGGAGCGAGCGGGGGGGCGCCTCCACGTGCTGGCGGCGCTGGCGGAGAGCGACGAGTACCAGGTGGGAGCGGCGGTGGTTGAGTGGTCGGAGAGCCGAGTCGGCAGTGACCCATAGACACACAGAGAGACCCATAGATCCACACAGAGACCCATAGACTCACACAGAGACACATAGACTCACACAGAGACACATAGACTAACAGCGACCCATAGACACACAGAGAGACCCATAAACAAACACAGATTGAGTTGTGATTAAACCGGGTAGTGACGTGAGTTGATGGCTGCAGAGGAAAACCCACGATATAAAATTCGTTCTGAACTTAACTTGGCTGAATTCTGGCTTTAAGAATGAAAAGATCGGTTTGACTACTGTCACGTGACCGAACCTCGCCTTGATGTGCAGAGCGAGTGGGAAAGTGCTGCCCTCTACCGTGCGTGTGTGCCAGAGTGTCACTTGGAGAAGGGTCCTCAGAGGCAGCACTGTGATGTCCACTTCCGCGGGCCATTCTCCCACACAAAAATGAGTCGCAGATAATACGGTGGAGACATTTTTTTTTTTATCGTAAAATTAAAGCAAAGCAATTTTACATCGGGTCTAGCACTCCCGCACTTCCGATTAGCACGGTGGGCTATATATACGGTGCGAAAGAAGTTCAACGTCCATAATAGAAGCACTCGTACGGCACGTGTCAGAGGTCGCGCTGCGTGTGTGCGTGCGGGCCAGGTGCTGCGGGCGAGCGAGTCGGCCCCGGGCCGGGAGGGCTGGCGGCCGCTGTGGCGCCCCCCGCGGGGCTCGCGGCTGCTCGACGTCGACTTCCTCGACTCGTGCCTCGTCGCGTCGCTGACGGCGGAGCGCGGCGCTCTGGCGCTGTCCGTGGTTCCGTACGAACGTCCGGACCGCGCCGCCACCGTGCAGGTGGATGCGGCGCTCCTCCTGCACCGATCGATCGCTCGCTCGCTATGACGTGAGCGCGACGGACCGGTTGTCCCCGCCACCGCCACCACCACCGCAGCCACCACTTCCACCGCCACCACTGCCACCACCGCCGCCACCGCCACTGCCGCCACCACCACCGCCGCCACTGCTGATCTCACATCATTGAACAACCGCATGTGCCATCTCGTGACCACAAAATGAAATCGTTAGAGAACCACCAAATACCCTCCCACGCAGATTCACAGCCAGCGGTAGGGGCTCGTAACTGATCTTTGGGTCAAGGCCTAACTCCAAAGTGTGTTATTAATCGACTGAATTCCCATCGCAAACCATGTGCCCGAATTCTGGTGCCACTCCCACCCAAGGAATGTGGAGGTGTTCTTGTAATGTAACGGGCGGGGTTAACCTCACCGGCGTTTGTCAATCCACTGCTGGATGAAGTCCTCCCCGCATCGATTATGGGGTCCTTGTTTGACCGTACTCCGTACTCAGCCATGCCGGCCGCTGTAACCCTTCAATGTCTGCTCTCCTTGCCGCGCCGTTGCGATGTCTCCGTGCGTGTGCGCGAGGAGCAGTTGGCCCCGTGGGCCTGCGTCCTGGAGCCGGACGCGAGCGCAGAGCGGGGGCCGCAGGAGTTTGGGTTCCGCCTCTCGTCTCCCGTCCTCCCGGGCGAGCGCCGCGTGCTGGACGTGGCGAGCGGACGAGTCCGGGGGGACGCGGGAGACGGGGACCCCGGGGGGGACGCGACGGCGAAACGGGACGCCGCGCGGAGCGTCGAGCGGGACGGCTACTCCGTCTGCAGGCTCCACGCCGTCAGCCAGGTGCCGCTCGGGAGAGAGCCTCGGCCGACGGGAGGCTTCAGGGAGTTTTAACGAGGGACATCGCGCGGAATGCACCCCACAATTAGCGCAGTGCCCCCCCACCTCCCAACGCCGGTGAATCGATGATTCCGTCACGATTCGTTCGGAGAGTCGATTGACATTGGTCCCTTTGCCACGATCTCATTTTCGCTGTTTCACGTTTTCTGGGTTGTTCGAGATTGTTCCCAGTCGTGTATATATCTGCTCGGCCAGAATGCTCGTGGGCGATCCGGTCCACTTCGAGACGCGAAATTCATCCGACTCGTGCGGCTCATGGGAACGCGCCGTGACTCGGTGGCGCCGTCGTTCCGCTCGTACCGCAGGACGGGACGGCAGTGCCGCTGACCGTGCTGCACTCGCGCGACCCCCCCGGCGGCGACCTCTCCGGGCGACCGCTGCTGGCGCACGTTTACGGCGCGTACGGCGTGGACGTGGCCATGGGCTTCAGGCCCGAGCTGCGCGTGCTGGCCGACGCCGGCTGGGTGCTCGCGTTCTGCCACGTGCGGTGAGGCCTCCCCCACCACCCCACGCTACTCTGCACCGCTCGTGGTACGTCGGGCTCGCATTTTGTTGTAGAGATAAAAAAGAACAACGCCGCAATCGTGCGGTGGCAAGTAACGGACCCCCCCACAATTGGATTCCCGGCCGTGGCGAGCGTCGGTGGCGCGTGTGTCCTGAACCAGCCCTCTGTCGACCCGCCGCTGCACGGTCGCCGGTGCCATTGAGAGCAGTGCTTCTCGGCCTCCGTCACTCGGCGGCGTTCAGAAACTTGGAGCCGGCTCCATCTCCGCGGCACCCAATTGCGCCGTCGTGCGCCGACCGAGGGAGTCGAGGGAGGGCCGGGGGTGGCGGCTGCGGGGTCGCCTGCTGCTGCTGCTGCCGTGCCTGCGTGTGCGACCAATGGAGAGGGGATGGGCGGGGGGCGGGGGGTGGAGCAGCCACTGAACGGCGTGGCGAGTTCGTTCGTCCTAGCTTGTGGACAGTGAGGTTCTTATGTTTCCGAAAATACTGCGGCGCCCTGGTCGCCACACACTGGTTTGGAAGATGCCGCTGAGAGAGAGAGCGCGAGAGAGAGTGAGCGGCTTCGACTGTGCGGCGCGCAGGGGCGGTGGCGAGCGCGGCCGCTGGTGGCACGCGGCGGGACGCGGGGCGCACAAGCGCGCCGGCCTGCACGACCTGCGCTCGTGCCTGGCGGAGCTCCACGCTCGAGGACTCTCCCGCCCGGGCCTCACCGCCCTCGCCGCCTCCAGCGCCGGCGCCGTGCTGGCCGGCGCTCTGTGCAACGAGTCTCCCGGCCTGGTGCGCGCCGTCGTCCTGCAGGTCGGCCTGCACCGCACCGCAGCGCCGAGCTGCGTTTAGCCGCGGGGGGCCCCGTTCGTACTCGCGTTGCGGAAATTGACCGAATCCTTCTCCGCGTGGAGCTGTGAGCGCTCTCTTCTCGAATGCCCGGCACGCGTTCTCTGCGTGCCCTCCGCAGGCTCCCTTCCTGGACGTGCTGGGCACGATGCGCCGCCCGGAGCTGCTCCTCACGCCGCAGGAGCGGGGCGAGTGGGGCGACCCGCTGAGCGACGCCGCCGCCCTCCGCCACATCGGCAGCTACTGCCCCTACACCAACGTGCGGCCGCAGGTGCCCGCGCGGCGGAGAGTGATGGGAGGCCGGGGGCGACAGGGTGGGGGGGGTCACTCCATCTACCGTGATGACATCACCGTGATGACATCACCGTGATGACATCACCGTGATGACATCACCGTGATGACATCACCGTGATGACATCACCGTGATGACATCACCATTACTCTATTTAAGACCTAAACCGACCAGCGTGGTGAAACAGGAAGACTTCATAATTCTGGCTAATCGCCTGATGAGGCTGGTTGTAATCACTAGCGAAACGTCACAGTACTTGAATTGTAAATGTTGTGGGTTTAATCTCCAACACACCAGTGTGCTGAAGTAGTAACTAATTTACACGTTTTGTTAACGTGAAAAACCTTACTAATTGGTTGTTTTGGGTGGTGTTGGGTTTAACGACACATTTATATTTACACAGTCTAACCCAAAATCCCTCTATTATGCACTAATTGGGTTTTGGGTTAATGCTGTGCTTCTGTCACTGCAAGGGTTTCTAATAATAATAGTTCACAGATCTTGGCCAATCCACCACGGCTGGTTGAAGGTCTCCCCCACGCCGTGCTGGTCACGGTGGTTTTTGACCAAACTTCACCACGCTGGTCGTTGCGCGTTGGTGAAGGCTGGGGGCGTGACCGAGACTCAAACTCGCGTCGCCGGTACCGTAGCACGGCGTGCGCACCATCGGGCCACCGCTCCCCCAGTTTGTACGCAACGATATTTTTGCTGCTCAGGTGTGGAGTGTTGGTCTTGAATCACATTTTTTACACGAATCAAAAGAGTCCCAAGTGAGAGTGTCGCTGTAGCAACACATTACCAGCGACTTAAGTGAGCGTGGAGCAGCTGGGAGCTGCATGTGCGTGCGTGTGGGGACCGGTCGTGTAGCGGTTCTGCTTTACGAACCCGGTGACCCGAGTTGATTTCTGCTCATGGCCAACACCCGCGACGATTATCTGAACCGATTTTGGGCCTTAAATGGGTACCTGGTGTAGCAATGTGTAGTAAATATCTTACCTGGGCAGACAAAGGCGGCCGGGCGTGGTGCTGGCCACCAACCCCACCCCCCCCCCATGTGCCGGCGTTCATAGGCGCTCGTGAGCAGCACTTGCCCCAGCAGCCTGTTAAAGTCAACACGGGGTAGGGGGATCTTTGCCTGTGTGTACCCCATGTCCTGCCTGTGTGTGCGCCGTGGCGCCCCGCGTGCACAGGCGTACCCGGCCATGTACATCAGCTGCTCGCTGGGGGACCGCCTGGTGCCGGCGGCCGGGGTGCTGCGCTACGTCTCGCGTCTGCGCCAGGCGATGGCCGAGCACCGTGCGTCGTGGCCGCCCCTCGCCGGCACCGGTGAGGTTTGGCGGAAACGCGACGGGGGGGGGGGGGGGGGGGGGGGGGCGGTGCTCGGGAACCACGGTGCGCAGCACACTGCCATCTGTGAATCGATCCAAAGAACCGGCCAGAAAATGATCTTTACTTTTTCCTTAAAAATGCCTAAATTCATATTCTTGGTTCTTTCGGTAAAGTCACGTATGTAGAGGTGTAATTGCGCATGGCTACGAATGTTGAGGTGTGATTATGCATGGCCACGGATGGCCAACAAACACAAGGGGCGGGGTTACGGCCGTACACAAGGGTGGCGCTAGCACCGACGTCCGCATGTGTATCCCCCACGGGCCCCCCCTCGGGGGCGAGTCCTATAAAAGGTGATGAGCTCGAGGGCTCGAGGTCGGGACTCAGCTTTAACCAGAGAAGACGGAAGACCAGCTAGTGTAGGCACCAGAGCTCCCCTGGCTCGCTGTCCTTATAAGGGCCGACCAGGGCAAGCCGGTGGCGTGGCCCCGAGAGCCCAGACGAAGCTGGTCTGGTGACTCAGGGAGCCGGGATCCCAGCTTAACCAAGCTGGGACAGATAGCCTCCCCTAGTCCCGTAGTGGAGGAATTGGTATAGGTTAGAGGGGTTAGCTGTCGAGAATCCCTGTAGCCAAGTGACCTGTGATAACTGTGTTGGTGTAATAAATAAGTGTGCCTCCGATCCTGTCGTCAAGCCTCCATATATACTTACTACACGTAGAAGGAAAATAATAAAATAATAAAAATAAACATTAAATAAATGAAATTATTTTATTATGTTTTATTTGTATTTATTTGTATTATTTTATTATTTTCCTTCTACGTGACTTTACCCAAAGAACCAAGAAGATGAATCCCTGCAGTCATGAAAGCTTTAAATCGAAATGCCTAAATTGTTTTAAATCTGAAACCACAAACTACCTATCCATCCACGCTCCACACACCCCCTTACCTGTCCACCCGGTGGCGCGTGGCTGATTACCGAGAGGGTTTCAAGGTCTCCTCGTGGATTCTTAGTAAATTATTCGAGCTCAGTAGGTGGCTGAGAATGCTGCTTATTTTGGCATGTTTGCCTTCTGCTTTACGCGATGGGTTCGTCTTTAGCTGTTTTTGTTTAGCAAGTAAAGTATGTGCTGTTTAACACGTCGGCTTTCACGACCAATTTCATCCATAATATCTATTTTTTTGGTTAGATCGTGTAAATATAAATGTGTTGTTAAACCCGCCACCACCCTACACAGCCTTTTAGTAAGGTTTGTCACGTAAACAGAACATGCCAATTTGTTACTTGTTCAGCACATCGGTGTGTTGGAGAGCAAATCCACAACATTGTAATGTTTGTTGTGGATTATTAAAGTACGTGCTATTTAATTATTTTCTCAAAGCAAAATAGCTTTTAACCCTTTCCCCGTTCTGAGACGTCTGCAAGTTGCTCGTGGCTCAGCGTATGTTTTATTTATAAAGATGTACTAGCGCCGCTGTTTTTAAAGACATTGTACTCACCGCAGAGAACCGTAGCGACACGACCACACCCTACGATAGCTGGTACCAAACTGTGCCACACGTCATCCCGCGTGGCCTGTTACTGCCGATGCCGCCCAAAATCGATTCCGTTCCGTCGACTTGAACGTACGTAATCGGAACGGAATCGGAGGAAAACTGATGACGTGCACGTACATCACCAGAACGGGAAAGAGTTGTAACAAATTTCTGTTTCGACACCATGGGTGGAAGAGCCTGGTCCCCCCCCTACCTTATGCGTGGCCTGTTGGTGTTGGCAGGGTGAGCGACGATGTCCCGTGTCTTGCCATGGGAATTGCGACTGGAGTCGCTGTGTTATAACGGAGAGCCGGAAGGCCTCACTCACTGCAGAATAACGGCCACCCGAGGTTCAACGGCATGGCGTGGGCCATGGAATCACGCTTGGGTTTGGTTTCCCCTTATTGAAACTCCAGTGCGTTATTCCGGAGGTCCCGAGTATTTCACGAAGATTCGACACGCCTCTCGACAATGGCATGCGGCTTCAAAAGGCAAAAGGAAATTGATAACGGGCGACGTTTCTGGCAACGGCCCTTTATTACAGCACAGAGAGGTGCCAAGAGAGATATAATTGATAATAATCAGAGATAGTGGATAATAGTGGTCGGAGACTGCACTTTACACCATGGGGCATGAAGTTTAACCACGTATTATCGATCAGAATTTTCTTTTGCTGTACGTGCATCCGATTGTGTGTTGCGGGGGCGGAGTAGGAGTTATGCGGATTGCATCCGATCGGGTTCGTGAAGCGTATAAAAGTACTAGTGAAAGAGACAATCTGAGTAACAATGCGAATGAAATGGGTGCAGATAAAGAGTGGAGAATCCTCCCCTTGTTCTCGCCGCGGATTGTGGTCATTTGTGGGATTTCCGTTGGGGGCAAGGCCGGGGATTTGAGCAGTGGACTGAAAAAGGCCTTGCTCCACGCTACATTCCACGTCAGCAATAATCGATGCCTCGAGTCTCCTGGCTGGCTGCTGGCTGGGCTGCTGTCGACCCCAACAATCGCTCTGTTGCTGTCAGTGGCTGCTGCGGGGCCAGTTGTCACCTCAACTAGCTCGGCGACTGGCCACATGGGATTTTTCTGTGTAACAAAATAAAGATTGAGGCGAGCAGAAATGGCGGAAGTCCGGAAAACGTTGATGAGTAAGAATAGTGACACTGGGGTGGGACTAACAAATACCGAAGACTGACCACGATTCATTTAAAATCGTTCGAACTTTTCAATGGGTGCTCCTTCCAATGTAATTATTTCACCAAAATATTCTTTAAATTCTAGAGAAAATAGCAAAAAAAAAAACCTCAATACATAACACCTCGCGATTTCATTTTCTTATCGAAATGTATCTATGGTGCCTTTCCCAAAGCACTGTACAGAAGTTTATGAAATCGTACATGAAGATGAGTGGGTTTTACATGATGAATGGGGTTATTACAAGTCGTGGTGTAGTTTTATTGACAGTAGGGCAGGCGGCAGTGTTCAGGCGGGGATGGTGTCAGCCCGGTCGTAGCTGCGAGCGCTCAGCGAACAGATGACGGTGAAAGGAGCTGTCTCTCGTTTTCCTTCCGCAGAGCGACGGCTTCATTGCTTGGCCTGTTCTCTATTTAAAATAGAAAGCCTTGTTAGTGTCCATCAGGACGCTGCACGATCCACTGTTGGGAGCTTTTATTTAAATCGGTGGTCTCGCTTTGGACTTAATAGGTAACTTTTTTTTCATCCACTTAATCAGCAGCCTCAGGGTGATTAGTCTTTTGCAGGGCGTCCTCTCAACTCGAGGAGTCACTCTGCTGGGCGGGTTGGGGGGTGTTCCAGTCTTGGAGGGTTTGAAGTAGGCCGCGCGATGATTGCTGCTGCGTAGAATCACAATTGAAGTAACTTGCGGCTCATTTTTCAACTTTGGCCCGTGACGCCTGCGCACGATGGCCTACTCTTGCGAATGAAGTCACGGGATCGCCAACATGCACCGGGAAACACTTGTATTATTTTTACAGTTACAGTTTTGCCGTTGGTACAGTATTAATCAGGGCGGCTGCCGGATTCAAACCGCGAGCCTCTTTCCTGAGCGGCAAACGCCGGGGTCACCGTCAGGTTCTGGCCACGTGTCGTTTGGCACGGTGGTGTCCATCGTTGCGCTCCAGGGGAGCGGCAGGTTGTGCACGGTGGCGAGATGTTAACTACCTCGCCTGGTATGCAGGAGGTTAGTGGGTTCAATCTCAACGCCCGTATATTTTGAGTTTGCACGTTCTTGCCGTGGTCGCGTGGATTTTTCTCCGGGCCCTTCGGTTTTTCCCTTCGCATTTCGAGTATTTGGCTGCTGCTATAAATTTCCAGGTGAAAAGCCACTTTTTGTTGAGCCGTCATTCGCGATAGCCAGATCACTTCTGAAAAAGAACCAGTACATAGCTCGGTGGGTCTTGCAGCTGGTAAAATAAAACATTGTTTATAGTTTCAGTTGTAACGACTCCGTAAAACGTGGATTTGTGACTCCACAGAGGCCGCCGCCGCCGAGTCGCCGCTGGTGGTCAGCGTGTACGAGGGGGGGGGCCACTGTGGCCCAGACGACCTGGACGGCCACGTTCGCGAGGTGAGAACGCGTTTTCTCAAGCGACGTCGATACGCGCTTACCCTGCACCGTCAAAACGGTGATTTTAAGCGGCGTTACAAGCGCATTTTCACGGATCGACACCCGGCCAGTTAACCTATGGCCACGCACGATCCAGTGCGGTGTTTGTGCATGGGTGCAAATATGTTGATCGATGTTCACACATCTGACCACCTCGCACGCAGGCATGCGGTATTGACCTCACGTACGATGGCTCGCCCCTAAAGCGCAGTGAAGCGTCGTCACACACCTAAAGCAGTTTGCACTTTAGTTTCGTCCAGCGACCTGTTTTTGCAGTGCGACCGCCATTTTCTACAGATGGTCACACACCCGCACTTGTTTTTTTTGACTCGTCTGCTTACAGTTCAGTCCCCACGAGTCAAATGTGCGGCACCGTAGTCATTAGCTTGGCCTTTAAAAATACTGATTCAGCCAAAATGAGCAATGGCCCCTCTTTTACCACCGTCTCCATTGCAGGTTGCCCAACAGTACACCTTCCTGTGGCAGGCCCTTGGACTCCCCGACTGATTAACCAGCTCTCGCCTTGATAGCAGAAACGTAAAACGCGCACAGCCGACGCATGGTGGGACAAGGTACAGGTTATGCAAGAGTACCGCCACCATGCCTGCGTGGCACTGCCAACATCACAGAAACACTGCCAACATCGCAGAAACACTGCCAATGTATGTGGAGATACAAGAATTACCACTGCATAGGTTTTCACCGATGTGCTGCTGTATGTTGAAATTCTTTCGCACGGTACGTATCCCAACCGTGCTAATCGGAGGTGCGGTTTTGTTAGGCACAAAGAAATGTAAAATCTTGTGCTGGGAGCTTCTTGAAGTAACCGGATTTAATTGCACCCAACTACAGACTGAAAAATTGGGTCGGTAACGCACGACTACTCCATGAAACACGACAATATGAGGACCGTGGTTAGGCTTTGTAACATTTATTTTCTCACAAGCAATCGAGGTTCAAGCAAAATGGTAAAATCTTGTCGCAATGGAATACAGCGAGATCCAAACTGGACTGCTAACAAACACAACAAGAAATGTATTTGTTCCCATATCAGTGCAACTACTACACCACCACCACCACCTTCGTTCGCCCGCCAAGTGGCGCCGCTAACTGGGGGCGAGAGCCCCCTGCACACCGTGGCCATGCTCGACTTTAGGCCACGTAGTTGTACTTGAGCACCAGTGCCTCCATGGGCTCCAGCTCCAGCTTGGAGAGGTCCACGTCGTCCAAACGGTGGAGCGTCGAGCTGCCCACCACGCTGGCCGTCGGCGGGAGATTGTGCTCCTTCACCAGGTCCAGCGTTTGCTGCGTGGACCCCAGGTTGAAGAGGATCATGAGGCGAGGACTCTGGTCCCACACCAGTCGGAACGCGAACACGCCGCCCTTGCTCAATGTATAATTCAAGTCGCCAAACTTGGCCGCTGACTCGGACCACTTGAGCTTTGCGAGATTGCGGTAGAGAAGCAACGTCGAGTTATGCTTGTGAGTTTCCTGGCTCTGCGCGCACACAAATTCGGTGAAGGGGGGGGGGACAAGATGGGACATGGTCATGTATTAAAGAACCATACAGACCCTGTATCATATTATAGAGAACCCAATATTGTTTGTTTTTTGTAATAAATTTAAACTCGGTGTTGTTCGCGTGCTGTCCATACCTTCACGTTGACGATGCCACTGGAGTCGTTCCACGGCATTGGGATTTCCGCACCCTGACAAGACCAGACAACTACAATTACTGCGATGCTCGCCAAATACCCGGGCGAAAGTCTGACCACAAGCAGTGAAAGCACAAGTGCGGCCGCAGCAATTTAGTCCATGTTGTGTGAGCGGCGGGGGACCGACCTCGAAGTCTCTCAAGCCGATCTCGTCGCCGTAGTAGATGAACGGCGTGCCCGGTAGGGTCAGCAGCAGGACGCCGAGGGCCCTGTTCAATTCCGGATTCTTAGTGGCCAAGTAGCCGTTGCGACCTCCGATCTGCAAAATGTGCGGCCACCCCATCAATGTAATCCTCTCCCCCTCCCTGCTGCGCAACAATCACAGCTTCGACTGTCATGCAACTCAAGCGCGTCGAGAGATGTAGGTCAATCTGATTGTGCACCTTAGATTCGTACAATTCGCACAGTGCAGCGCGCGGGTGTGCGTAACGCACAAATGCCAGCGGCACTGTAATCGCGGCGGTACTGACCGCCAATCCAATGGACTTGTTGGCTGCCTTCGTGAGGACGGATTCGACCAGCTTGTGGACATCTTTTTCCGTGGAGTTGGCAGACAACTTGCGTAGGTCATAGATAACGGGCAGGTCAGCATTGCCGTTCTGCACCAGATACTCCGCCAGATCCGAATCCTGCCGAGCGTCGGCGATGAGCACCCTGCACAGCAACACACGCACGTCCTTCAGAGTCACTCTGGCAGCTACTGCTATTTTTACGTTAGCGACATGCGAATAATGAAGCTACACCAAGCGGTGTTCATTTAGTCAACGTTTTTTAGACTGGTCAAGGACGAACGGTGGAGCCTTGGTCTGTCGATTCAATGCAGTCATTTAAATAAATGCCGAATAACCAGTGGTAATTTAACCACTAAATCCCACACAGACTTAAGACTTTGACAAACATTCCACAGCTTGTCCTCCACTTGCTTTCATTTTAACTTTTATTTTATTATTTTTCATTTTCTATCTACGCGACTTTACCGAAGGAACCAAGAATATGTCCTCCACGAGTCTAATATTAAACAAATTCTGATCGAATTAAACACCGGCGTCACCACGCATCAAATGCACGACCGAGTGGCCACGGCGCTGTCGTTGTTGTTGTGGTGCTCACTCACCGACGCTCCTTGTCCTCAGTGCTGTAGGCGGACGTCACGTTGTGCCACTCCTCAAAGAGATCATTGACCTCCTGCAAAGAAAATGACCCCAGGTAAATTGGTTACAGGTGTAGATTTGAAGTTTTCGTGACTGTAGAGATCCATACTCTTTAGTTCTTTCGGTAAAGTCACATAGGTATAAAATTAAATCACGACGTTTCGATCTCAACACAAGCAATCATCAGGAGGGAAAACCACAGCAATAACATTTTTTTTGCAATTTTCTTGCTTTGGTTTTTCCCACCTCATGAAGATTGCTTGTGTTGCGATCGAAACGTCGTGATTTATTTTATTTTATACCTACGTGACTTTACCGAAAGAACCAAAGAGTATGGTTACAGGTGCATCGCACACTGGGTGGCGGGGGCTGCCAGGGGAGATTAGAACTACAGGAAAATCTCCAAGTTAACTGGGACTTTACCATCCAGAATGCTGCGTTAACCGGCATCTGTCAAATGGAAATACAAATATGCTGCTGAGTGGTGTCGCCTGTGGCAGTCTCAATTGTTAACGTCCGCCATTATGATCGCATTGTGTAACTTTGTATACTGCACTCTAAGCTGCCCCACTGCTTCTCTAGAATCAACTTAGGAGCCTCTAGACAGCAGACTGGTGAGTACCTCTGTAAAGAGATTATATTATTGAGTATAGCATAGTTCAAATGTAGGCTTATTGTCTTTCTTGAAAAGTTTTATGAAATTTGATGAGCCGTAAGTATAACTCACATAATCGGCATCTTTGATGAACGGGCACCCTCTATCCCCCATGGATGTTGGATAACAGCCTTTCCTGTACACCGTCTCCTCGGTGATGCGAAAATAAAAGCTGAACTCTTTCCGAATACACAAACATTTACTAAAATAACGCATCTCGCCAAGGGTTAGGAGAGCAAGGAATTACCTCCTTTTCGCCCAGGCCCTCCACACCGATGCGGAATCCTGCGATGCCTTGCTCCATCCAGAACTTCAAGGCTTTCTGTGAAATCCACAAACGGGCACAGTCATTATGAGGCAACCACACCGTTGGGCAAGTGCACCACGAGACAACCACACCAATATGCGATGCCAGGGGCACGGTCCACCACATTGAGTCGCCTCACCTTCATCTCTTCGCGCATCTTCGTGGTGCCACCCGTGTCGTTGCTGAACCACTTGGCAGGGAACATGTCCAGTATGATCTTGATGTCTAGACGATGAAACGCAAACCACAACGGTCACATTTGCTACACGCCTGGCAGCCCAACCCCCGGTCAGGAACGTGGGGCTTATGAAACTTGTATACAGTGTTCCCTCATTATTCACGAACTTGCTATCCGCGATTTTGGCTATCTGCGAATCACGTCTGGAACTCTGCACGACTGCCTCGAGAGGGACGGAGAGAAAGACAGTGATGAGACAAAGTGATGACAGAGAAAGTGACTAATAGTGATGAGATATATAGTGATGAGATAATGTAGAGAGAGAGTGATGAGACAAAGATGATAGAACTTCTTGAAGCTATAGAAGCATCTGCAGACGCTGTACAATATTAGTAGGCCAATATCCGCAGAATGTGCTATAGACGAGCATCTCCGGAACGTATATCCATCGCGAATAACGAGGTTAATGGCTGGAGTTGCGAGCGCTGGGCGGACTTAATTGGGAATCCCAACGACACCGCCCTCCACCGGGAGACCAAAGCCCAATTTCACACGTTCGCTCTGCCTCACAGGGACAGCTGCTACTGTGGGGGCGGGGGGGGGGTTGTGGTCGTCCCCCGCCACAGCGCGTCTTCTGAGATGTACCGCTGCGAGCGAGGTGCAGTATAAATACGAGACCCACCTTTCCTCCGAGCCTCTGTCATCAGCTTCTGGAGTTCGTCGAGCCGGCCGTAGCGAACGTCCACGTTTGTGAAGTTCACCTCCTGGCGGGTCGTGGCGGCGTCCTCTGGAATCAGCTGCATCACCATCGCCCTCACGTTGAGCTGCTTGAGGTAATCCAGCCGGCCCTGCACGCCTGGTAACCAGCAAGGACGGGTCAACACGTGCGCGCACGAGGGGCTCGCGAGGATAACAGGAGAATCTGGCACGGTTACCCGTCAACGCTTCGTGGCGCTATTAGAGGTGGATAAACTTTAACTCTCATCTGTCTTGTACACGTACGGCCTCTTGCGTTAATCCACTGCTGGATGAGGGCCCTCCCCACGCCATGTGGGTCATGTGGTTTATTTGACCTTACTTCACCATGCTCGTCAGCGCAGTTTGGTGAAGGCGGGGGAGGGATGGGTGTTGGAGCAAAGGCAATGGATTTTGTTGCAAATGTGTTCGAATATCAAGCACAGAGTCCCAATACTTTTTTTCAGGAGAGTTTGTTTGGCCAACAATGATGACATTGTACGAGTTTAGTTATGGGAGGAAACTGGAGCAAACCCACGTAGATCAGGGGGAAACCAAACTGACATTGGATGGGTAACAGTTACTCAGTGTCACGAGGATCACTGGTTTCCACTGCGCCATGGTCTAATAACCCTCTGACGGTGACTTGGCAAAAAGGGGCTCACACATTTCCAACGTGTCGTCTTGAATATTA